GCACAGGTGCGAGAGAGAGATCTCCCGCTCCATGGAGAGTTACCTAGGCACAGGTATTTCTCCGCCATGTGAAAGTGGGCAGAGTACCGGCTCTAGAGGTACTACTGCTGCTCCTCGCAGCCATGGTTCGGGGACTGCCGTCACTTCTTCGACGCCAAAGACGTCGCATGAAGAGTCCATGCTTTGCATATGAAATGAGCAGTAACATTTGCTCTGTATGTAGACCCTGTTCGGCAGACGGTGGCATCATGCTGCTGGCCTAGCTGATTTGGAATTTGCTGCCCGAGAGTTGCGCCTCACCTTCAGCGCTCTGCACAGGGTCCGAAGCAGAAAGAAGGAGAGAAAAAATCGAAAATGGCGTAAATAGCTGGGGCTCTTGCGCTAGGTGGACGCCGACAGCACAGATAACGCCAACCAGAGGAGGTGACATGCACTCCGTATTAGTACTCTGAAATTGCACGCAATTTTCCATCTTTTCCCCTTCTTTCTCTCTCTTATTTTTGCCGCAAGCCATTTCGCCCTCGTTGATAGCGGGTCTCATTCCCTTGGTCTGGACAGACTCTGCCCACTTGGGGCAAACCGGATGGCGGCCACTGAAGATGCAGCCTCGCCTTTGCTAGCTCCGTTGCGGACAAGACGACGACGGGCTCAGCTCCGTAAAATGAGGGAGGAGGGCATCAAGCGTGCTTATCCTTGATAAGCTTCTTTATACCACGGCCACGGACGGATTGCAACAGGCGCGGGAGTCATACCTGTACTTCGCATAGAGTGCTGGTGATTTGAGATCTCGTGAGATGCCACCCACAAAGAGCAAGCACAGTGCCCAGGGAAGCGGACTCAAGGTTGCATGTCGACTCCAACCAACCCCTGCTAGTCTCGCAGAAGCTGCTGACACCAAAGGTCTCGGCGCGGGTCAGCCCCAGACCCTCGATAGGCGTCTCTCTCGACCCACGGCGGTGGCCGAAGGCGCCAGCAACATGTTGCGCCGTGCTCCGTGCTTGTGCTTGTGCTTTCCTCCGTCAAAGTGTCGACTTCTTCGCGTGTCACCTCGCTGCTGAATCGCGTTGTGCCCCACGTCCCATGTCTTTTCCCCCCCAGCCTGTTGTTCCCTGGCTGCGATCTGTCTCTGTCAATCATGAGCCCTCGTACCGCAGCACAAGCAGCAATAGTGGTATACTACTTGTAGCTGCTTGAAGACAAGACATCGTCGGCCCGGATACAGCGCTTGGTCACGCCCACTGCCCATCTTACGCACGGACAAAGGAAGGATGCGATCCGACGGCTTTATGACAGGCTGGAGGAGGCGATCTATCCAACGCGAGGCAGCTCCAATGCCGCCAACAGAGGAAGATTGCCAACGTCAATTCCTGAAGTCGGCCAGACAATGGCTTTTGATGTCGTCAAGTTCCCTGAACAGGTGCGCCACGTCCGTACATACATACTGTATTACAGAACCTGCTTGTTGGCGCTCCTCCCACATGTCGTCGCTCATCCTGTTTTGCCCCCAAAGGGTTTTGCGGAGTGTTGCTAGTATGTTAGTTAGCGTACTGAATGCGAGACTCGGGGCCTGGAGTGACAGCCACAGGCACCAAGCATATCTGTACTACTCCATTCCGCATCTTGCAAGCAGGCAGTCTGTGAAGAGGCCGGACTGGTGAGGTTCCGGGGGGAGCACGTATCGCATCAGCGACCTGGGCGGAATCTAGTAGAAGCCCTAAGCCTTCCCGCCCCGCGTTGGCTGGCTCGGTCACTCCTTTGGAACTGGTAATGGCCCCCGAGACTGTCGGTTGTGCCGGTGCGAATCGTGGTGGTGGTGGTTGGATCTTGTGGCGCTTTCATTTTCGGCCCTGGCCTGAGTGGCTCGCATATCCCTCACCAAGCTTGCCCTCTGTGGCTTCGTTCCGCACGACAGAGCCAGAGTGACACAGGGTGCCGAATCCTTCTGGAACCGCCCAACGACGGTCACTGTCGGGGAGTTGTGCAACTTGGAAGACGTCGTTGGCTCGAGGCAACTGCGTCCGTGGAGGCAGAATGCCATCATCGATCGGTCCCAGCACAGTGTCCTTGAGCGTACGGGCACCAGGGGGTTGGTATCAGAGCGCTGCCATTGGGCGATGTGTCCTGGCGAGTGGTGGCTTGCGTTCATATCACCTTCTTTTTCTGGCCGATGGTGGCATTCACACGCCGACCCCCCTGGCTACTCCAGCTCAATGGCCGGCAGCCCTACTTGGTTTCCCCGGCCTGATTATTTGCTTCGCCATCGCTGTTGCAATGTTCGTTAGCCACCAGCCTGCATTAGGTTACATCCCCTCCAATCCAACCTCTGGCTCACCATGCTGCTGTCTCTTGTCTGCTAGAGGCCCCTCTCTCCACCTGCTCTCGTGCCTAGGCTGTCCCCGTCGTTTTGATCCCATCGTACTAGCAGCGGCATCAGGACTCCTAGAGGCACCACTCGTACTAGCCCGTAGCACACCAGGGCCAGCCAGAACAGCTCCGTCCTGGCCCAGCCTGTATTTTGAGCATCTCTGGCTCTCTTATCTCAGCGGGGGCCTTCTAAATTGACCCTTCTCGAAAGACGGCACATGGGATTTCCCTTCTTGGCACTCTAGACGAGGGAACTTTTGCTCGCTCTCTTCGCTGCGTGGCTTGGCTTGGTTTCCTCCCACGCCGCTGCTGATGCTTTTGGAGCTGGCTGCTCTTGTTGTTTGTTTGTCCAAACCACACAGCGGCTGTTGCCCTATCAAGGCGTTTTCCCACATCGGCCGATATCTGGGGGAACGATACGGATATCTGCCCCTAGCCAGCCAGCCAGCCAGCCAGCCAGCCAGCCAGCCCTTGCCTGTACTTTCGTGCTGCGCCCGTCCCAGTAGGCCTCTCCGCCGCCGTGATTCCCTCTCTCTTTACTATCCCTCTACACCAGGCGATTATGGGCACCTTTGCCCGCCTCCCATACACGACCTTCGTTTGACTGAGCAAGCACGCTCGCCACTCTCAGAGAGTGATGAATCACCGCGCTGGAGACTGATTATTCCAGCCGAGTCCTACGACTTGCCCAGGTCCGTCAGTTCCTGACAGACAAGACAGCCGGCGGACTGAGCACCACTGCTCTGTCTGCTCGGTGTGTGGGCACGTTGACATGTTCCATCAACCGCCGGAAAAGCCTCGCGCGCCTGGCTTCGACGATGATCCGTTCGGGTTTGTCACCCAGGCCTGGGAGAGATATGGCCTGGGCAGTGTGTCGTCGCCTCCGCCTGCGATGCCTCCGCAGCCCATCCAGAGGACCGGACGGGCCTATTCCACCGCTTCGGTAATGGACTGGACGCCCGAGATCGATACCACCTTTCACCACCACGGCGACGGAGTGGCCATGTCGCCGGTGGAACACGTCGAACTGGACAGCCTTGGTTCGCCTCAGGGAGGGGGAGGGGTTGGCCGCTTGGTCGCGCACTTTGAGAATAAAGGCTATGTCCCGCCATTGCCTCCGCGGCCCATCAACAATCAGCCGCATCAACCGCATCACATGGGCCACAGTCCTTCAATGTCGTCGCAGTTTGGCAGTCTAAACTCTGTAGCCCATACGCATAGGATATCGAGTCCCGTTGCTAGCCCAGGTGAATCCCAATATGGCTCGCTCGGGGTGCATTCGCCCCCAACACCCACCTCAATCGTCACCAACATGAACCGCTCCGGCAGTATAAGCTATGGCAGCTTCCATGACACTCAGCAGGTGCATAGTCCCGGTATTGGTACGCCTTTTGGGAGCATGGATGGCTTTATGAGTTCTGCCCGCGTGAACAGCCCGATGGTGGCGACACCAATGGCATCGACGCCCATGATGCCCAGTCCCATGGCCGCTCCGGGAGTGCCTGGTACCCCTGGATTCGAGATTTGGCGACCTCCTCCCTCGATGACTCCCAAACCTGAACCCTCTCAAATCACCAACCCAGCCAATTTCGGCGGCTATTTCAGACCTCCAGTGCCGACGACTCCCAAGCCGGTAGTCAACACAGGTAATCAGTTCATCTTGGAATTCAACCCCAGCGCCAAGGCAGCCAAAGGGAAAGCTCCGGCAAAGCCTCCCAGGCCTCGATTGCCTCCTCGGAAACCCAACCTTTCACAATCACAACTCTCGGCACAAACACCAGCAGCACCTGTGCAAGCGTCGGTTTCAACACCGGCACCGGCATCGGCACCGACACCGACACCAGCCGTTGCCTCAACTCCAGGTCCAATGTCTCCTCCTCCTAAACCGCCTCGCCCTTCAGAACCGTCTTCTTCATCCACACCCATTGTTGTGAGCAATGCCGCTAAACCAAGAGAATCCTTGCAGCTAGGTGTACTAACGCGCATGTCTAGGCACAGCGGCGGGATTCGATGGCTCTTCGTGCCCAGGCAGGTACTAGGCCGTCACGGGAACAGGTTCCTGCAGAGGCCTGGGAGCAATACAAATCCACTATCCGTACCCTCTATCTCGAGGAGAGAAAACCCTTGAAAGAAGTCATGAGTGTCATGGCTGAACAATATGGGTTTCAAGCAACGTGAGTCGAAGATTGATTCCTCTTCTGCTTCATCGTTCGGGTTCTTGGTTCGTTGTAAACTAATTCGACGCCCTTTCTAGGCCAAAGATGTATAAAACAAGGTTCTCTCAATGGGGTTTTGTGAAGAATAACACGGAGGAAGAAGTGAAACGGCTGTTGTCGATGAAGTTCCAGCGAGATGCCGAGGGCAAAGTTTCCGAGTTTGTTCGAAACGGCAGGGTGGTGAACCTAGGTACCTATTTGAAACGGAAAGGAGTGACGGAGTATGACCTCGTTGATTTCGAACTACCGGCCGACCTTCCAGCACATATCCGATGCAGAACACCGACACCACCTCCGGCTCTGCGATCACCCGATCTGCTCCGTGCACAGGAGGTAGTCGTTGGAAATATGCGCAAGGCATTCCTACACTGTCGGCAATTCGAGATGGAGACTGAGACTCAGATTGGTTGGCCATCAACCATGGTTTGGGGTGCTGGATCGAGTGAACTCCTGGTCGAGGCCAACTTTTACTTCGAAGCTCGCGACGCAGATCAAGGCGGTGACTACCTGATGCGAGCTTTCAAGCAGCTCGAGCTGGACCTCAGAAAGCTCTCGCCACAAGGCATCATGGAACTAATCCTGGGTATGATCAATCGGGATCCCGGCATGATGACGGCCCTTTGCAAGTACCTTGCAGCATATTCGACAACCAATCTGGAGCGAACCCATCCTCTCCGGCAAATCTTCACTTGTCTGTATGAAGTGCAACAAAAGCATGGGGCGCAGACGTTGTCTGAGCTCCTGTGGACTAGCATCTCGACAATTGCGGAGGAACTCGAGGCCATCTATGGACGCAAGCATCCGTATGTGGCTCGCACATGGGCCGATCTTGCGCTGTTTTACAGCCAGGTGAACCCGGAAAGGCTGGAGAAGTTGGTTGTTGAGCTTCGTGTGCTCCAGAGGCAGCTCGAGCAACGACATGGGCATTCCAGTGTCGAAGTGGTTTCCATCCGATATGCCATTCTGCTGTTGGTCTATGCGTCGTCTCCCCAGTCGGATGCCTCGAAGCAAGCCGCAAATGATTATTGGAACCTGCTGCGGAATATGAACACCATGTTTCCCATGCGCGACTCCCGTCCGAATAGTTACTGCTATCACAGCCCGCTCAAGGTCGATCCGTGGACAAAGAGGTGCCGCAGGCGGTACGACACACTCGTCACCATATTCGAGGAGCATGTAGGCGTTAGAATCAATCCCTATTTCGAAGAGGACTTCCACACGACCGAGCACGCTCAAGAAACGCAGGATGCCTGGGCGGCAGCTCTGCAAATGGGTTCGACGAATAGATCTTGGGGCTTCATCTAGCGGTTTCGCTTTCAGAATGTTGGGTGTGTTCCACGCCCAGCTGGCGCAAATGTCAGGTACCCAAGATACCTTGTCTCTCGTCTCCTAGCGCGCGGTGCAGCGAGCTTCTTTTTCGAGATTTCTTTTTCCGGAATCTAGCGGGCGGTTAATACCCAGCATCAGAAGGATTGCGGCGCATCTACCTAGCGACAGTTTTTTTCGGTTACGTCCTGTTTGCCACCTCACATCGAGCCTGGAGTTTTGGACAGTTGACAATTCTCGCCATCGCGGAACATTTTCCTTTCTCATGTCGCCGACGCTGACAAGTCGATTTCCTTGGTCTTTCCACGCAAGTTGTTGCACCTCTCGAGCCGGGCGTTAGGGAGGGCCTTTTCCCCCTTGGATGCGTCGTCATCCGTGTATAATAGTATCCGTTGTTTTCTGTTTTCCTTTCCTGCGTTTGATATGCGATGTTCAGCTTTCTTGATACTGAAGACCACGAGGGAGAGGCGGGAAACGAGTGTTTTGAAAGAAGTTGGCAGTCAGACTTTTTTTGTTACAGGGCGAACGAGGAGTTGACGGGAATTGAGCAGAAGAAAAAAAATACCTTTATCGAGCATTTCCTGCTTCATCGGGAAGGAGAAGGCAGGCCGGAGTTTGGATGGCAGGAACGGACGAGGCACTTGTCGATTGTCGTCATTGCAGATGGTTAGACCAGACCGACCGTCCTTCTGGGAAGGAGCGGGAGCACACTGATTTTCTCATCGCGCCTTCTTTTCGACTTGACTTGCCGTTAGTATAAAAAACTTCAACTGGTATTAATGAATAAAGACATGATGACATCATACGCTCAACTTGCCCTGCAACTACTATGCGAATAACCTCACTGGCATTGAATTTGCATCTACCGACACGCACCAAAACCTCGTCTGCTGTCAATATGGCGGCGACTGTCTTGTCGGCACCACACCCTTCACCCTTCCCGAGGTATCACCGGCGCAAAATAATTTCAGGTTGACCTCATGAAACTACGACGACATGCATCTCTTATCCAGCATACAGTCTATACCGCTCTTCTTCTCACAATGTCACTGCTTCGCAACCAATTGACGTCCAGGCATGCCCAGCAATTACAAAGCGGAACCAACAGACTCATCTGCCGCCTCTACTCTTCAAATCGCACCATCAAAGGTTTGATCTCTTTCTCTCACTCAAGAAGCTCTTAACAAGGTATAGACTCAAGACAACTAACCCTCCTCCGTCCTCCGCAGAGCACGACGTCCTTTTTCTCCGTCAACACGGCGCCAAACACGCAAAATGGCACCTCTCTGCTCCCCTGAGACCCGAATCCCGCGTGAAGCTCTCCTACGGCGCCTCCATCTACGGAAGAGATCTCATCGGCCGTCGCATCCTCGACATTGTCCGCGACAGCGCTGGCAATTCCGTCGTTCTGCATGAACCCTCCCTAGCAAGCTACATCATCAACAGCGAGCGTCTCGCCACCCCAGTAAGTGGAACTAAGGACACAATCCAAATAGATACAGCCTCCTAAGCAATCGCAGATCTACCCCAATGACGCCACCACCATCGTCTCTCTCCTGGACCTCAACCCCTCCCGTCCTGGAGAAGACGAAGACGAAGACCAAGGGCCCCCCTTTGAAATCTTCGAGGCGGGCACCGGCATGGGCAGCCTCACCCTCCACATCGCCCGCGCCTTACACGCCGCAAACCCGCCTCTCCCAGCTCCCCTCAGACAAACCCTCATCTCTTCCCCCTTCAAGCCTCACTATGACTTTGCAACTTCAAGAGGCTGCCTCGACATCTCCCCTGAGGAGCAGGCTTCTCTGGATGAGTATGCGTCCTCCCGCCGCGCCGTTCTGCATACCCTCGACCGCAACTCGAAGCACGCTCGCGCCGCATATAAGCTGGTCAGAAACTTTCGCCGCGCGCAGTACCTGCCTTCCGTCGACTTCCACGTCGGCTCTGTAGACGGATATCTCAGCCAAAGACTCGAGCAAAACGGCGGACAGCCATTCCTCTCCCGCGCCATCCTCGACCTTCCTTCAGCTCATGAGAACGCCGAGCGCGTAATAGAAGCCTTACACCCCAACGGCTTGCTCATCCTCTTCAAGCCGTCCATCAGTCAGATTGCCGACTTCCAGGCATGGTCGACCGAAACGAAGCAGCCCGTGCGCATGGAAAAAGTCATCGAGCTGTACTCCACCACCACTTCCGAAGGTGGCGTACATGACAGTTCCGGGGGCCGGCACTGGGACGTCAAGACGGTTGTGCCTAGGGCCGAGCAAGGCCAAGCGGGCAACAACAAGCCGGTGCAGGTGATGAGGCCAAAGGTAGGGGAGCGGGTTGCTGGCGGGGGGTTTGTGGCTGTACTGCGGCGGTGGCCTGTTTCTGGGATGTCGGTGCGAGAAGCTTCTGAGGAAGAAACGGAGGTTCAAGAGTGAATTTGATATACATTTGTCTCTTTTGCATACGTTTGGGGAGCATAGATAGGCAAGCATCCGGATTGGGTAAATCTGCATGAGGAAACTGCCAAGCTGTATAATATATCGATATAGTAGATCTCAAAAAGCAACATAGATGAAACACAGATATAGGTATATGGTCAGATACACAAGGTGCCTATCCTTTCTCATCGACTGAGGATATTCTTGATCTGGAAATCTACAGACCCTCCACGAGGATAGAGCAAGCCCACACATCACCACTTCTTGAATTGCCAATCGCACAACGCACAATCTAGAACGGCATAAAAACGAAGTAAGTCAAAAATGCCACGCTTGTTTGCTATCTCATGTTTTTTTCCAAGGTACCTGCCGATAAACATTCTCTCTGCCCCAATATTCTACCAATTGATGGCGGGTATCTCTATATACAACGCTCCAAAAAAAGCTGCCAGCAAAGAAAACAAACTGCAAAACGAAAAAGAAAATGTTTCATAAAATTCGTCATAGTCGTCATAATCACATTCGTCAAAGAGACAAGAAAAGACCACACTTCTCGTCACCCCCCTTTTTTTCCCGGGCCAATCCTCCTCCTCCTGCGCTCTTCCATCTCGTTACAGAACCGTAGGTAAAAGTACCGAGAGGACATGTGTGCTCCAAAGGGGGCATCCGCAGTTCTGCGTCGGCCAGCCATTGCGAATTTTGCTTCAGCCCCCTTTGCAAAGAGCCGCGCTCCATTGACCCATTAATGTAAACCCCGCAGGGAGCAGAAAGAAAGAAGTCTCTCAGAGTAAAGCAAACTTGTGTGTCCGGCAACTGAATCCTCCGGCCGGCGGTCGGCAAAAGCAGAAATGAAATAGTGGAAGCGATAGTGATAGAGAGAAGAAGAGAGAAAAAAAGACAAGGACAGAATCGACAGGGAAAATTATCAACGCGCGCTATGAAGGCGTAACAGTCATGGCAAAATGTACTGCTCGCTGCTCATTTGTTGAAGGGAGGAAGAAAAGTCGGGTTTGCGCTATTAGAGATCCAACCCTTCGGTGTTATCGAAAGTAAAGAGAATCGTTCGGCGTAGGAATGAAAGAAGAAGAGCAGAGAAACAAGGAGTCGTAGCATGCTCGTCAAAGATCCAGTCTCGATGAAGGCTTGCGCCAGGTCTTCCAATCTTGTGTCATGCTTCCAGTCGCCCGTAGGAAGATTTGAAGAAAGTAAAAAAGGAAAGCAAAAGAAAAGTAACAAGAGACGAAACCGATCTAGGGTGCGATAGATAGATGCGGTAGCATATGCTTAGACCGAGTTATTGATCCCCTCGGGTGCGCGAGCACAGCAAACCATGAGCTTGAGGCTAGTGCCCAGCTCCTCGCATTCTCTAAGCAAAGCTTTGTCGTTCCAGATGCTCTTCTTCCCAGAAGAATGACCGGCTGCACTCTCGTAGCATCGAGAATACCACCAGCGACCAACTCGAGAGACCATGTTGGTGATGCCTTCATCCGCGTTGGGACTGTGGTCTCGCATCATTTCCGCCAAGCTGGGTTGGTTCTTGGACGACCTCTTTTTCTTGTTCTCAGCCGAGCCGTTGCTTTGCGAGTTGTCATCAGAGGAAGTGATAGCGCTTGCAACCGGAACCCCAACGCGGGCAGCCTTTATTGTCGAAAAGCCACTCTTGCCAAGGAGTCGAACAATCAGGTCAGCAGTAGAGGCCAAGTTGGTCTCTGGAGAGATCTCATGAATGCGTTCCTTGAGTTGGCGAATGGTCCGACGCCCGCGATTGCCCATATTGTTCAAGTCGACGTCGAGGATAGATAGTTCAAGATATCCACCTGGCTTGAGCACACGACGAGCTTCGAAAAGGACATTCTGATAGTGCGACTCCGGGGCAGCAGCCGGGAATCGGTAGACAACACAGTTAAAGGTATGTGTAGGAAAGGGGAACTCGTCCAGTTGGGAAAGATATTGCACCTGATGGTGATTCGGCGGACTCAGGGGGTAGCGAGATGCCGAGCTCTGCACGTCGGTGGGCAGGGGAGCCCGCGGAGAAAGGTTGAAGAAATCGGCGGTTGAGTATGTTTCCGCGGCATAAAAAGACCAATCGTCATTACCAAGCCCGTCAATGACAAGAACTGACGGGCGCTCGGGGGACTCTATGCCCTTGACCAGCAAATGCCGAATGTCGCTGAAGAGGACCTGACCAAATGAAAGCCACTTCGAGACGGTCATGGAACCAACCCGGAGGTTCACCTGAGCCAGGGGCGTCCACTCGCCGGAAGACGTGGACGAGCCCGATTGCGTAGACTTGCGGACAGACGTGATGCTATGGCGCATGCTTTCAGCGGCGCTGGGCTTCCTTGAGTGCCCGCCAATCGTCTGTTCTGCGACCTCCGGCACAGGAGACGGCACTGTAGGGCTGGGGTGAGGCTGAAAGGCCTTTCGTATCCTCTCCGTCATGTCGGCACTAAAGGTCGTGGAAGCCGTCGGTGCATCCGAGATGGCCGACAGCTTACGACCATCAGTGACAAGCGTGGGAGACTCAAGAGCCTTCTCCTTTGCGAGCTTCAGATGGTAGTTTTCGAGATGAAACGGAATACCCCGCGAAGAGGTAGCCGACTGTCGTTCTTTCACAGTCTCTTCTCCGAGGAGATCGTTATATTCGTCCCAAACCTCATCGTCCACAGGCGGGTCGTCAGGCCTGGGAATGATGGCCGTCGCCTCTGCATAGCTGTATGAGACACAGGACTCGGTCGAGCTGGTGGTACAGTCAGAGTTCTTGCGGGGAGAAAAGGCAAGGAACTCTTGTGCGGTTGCTTTCTCTGGGGTAATATGAGATCTTGGCTCACTGAAGAATGAGAATTCGGTGCCCGCATCTGTTGTTGAGCCGTCACCACCGAATGCATCGCGGACCGGAGTAGACGGCTTCGAAAAGTTCGGCATCCGTAGGTTCAAGCCTACGCCGTGTGTTGGAGGTATATGCAAAGAAAGCTGCTGATTCGCGACGAAAGGCCGAGAGAAGCTACGCGGAGACGGCCTCGCCGGACGGTTGCTCACCACCTGAGGTATCCTTCCCACCTGGGCCAAGCGGCTGGGCCTTCCAGAACTCAGCGTGACTGCCGGAGGAGGTGTTGCCTCCATGTGAGAAAAGGACGGCTCGATCATGACAGGATAAGTGTCTTGGACTGGCGACAGAGGTTCTGGTAGGACGTTTGACTGAGGCTGCAAGTGTGATGTGTTGACTGCAGGAGCGTCCTGTGCCTGCACCTCAGGGGCATCGACGTTGGCAGGTGAGCGTGCGTAGGCATCGGCCTCGCGCAGAATCTCCTTGAGGTCGGGCTCGGCAGCCCCTTGCTCAGGTGAGTCCATGATGGCGTAGAAGGCCACAGGCTTCTTCTCCACAGGCTGGACAGTAACAGCTACTGGCTCGCTTGCTTTGTCCGGCTTGGACTGATTGTTGGATCTGCTGAAGAAGTTCCATTTTCTCGGAGATCGAGGCTTCTTCTTGAGCTTCTTTGGCGCCGGATGATTGTTGTTGCTCAGATCCTGGGAAGGTAGTTGCTGCAGATTGAACAAAGAAGACTCATCAGACAGGATGCTGGTATCAAAGCTGGTCAGGGGGGACGTAATCACTCCGCTTGTATTGATAGGCCGTGGCAGCTGCAGAGGGTCATCGGGAAACGACTTCAATCGTTGAACCGATCGTCTATACGCCAGGGTAGATTGCATGGGCGCGCCTCCATTGTCGGAGCTGTCCGACGGTCTTCGAGCGCTCGGCATCTGATTTCGTTCGCGAGGAATAGCTGACGGCCAGAGACCTGGTCCTGGAATACCCCTTGCTATAGAAGATGTGGCTGAGTTTGCAACAGAATCAATGCTCGGGCGTTCATCTGTCGTCAAGCTCAGGTTGCTGTCTGACCTGAGAAGCTCTGCGCTGGCGTTTCGGTTCTCGACGATTGCTCCTCCAGCAATAACAACAGGGTTGATACGGTCAGCCAGGAAGGAGTCGCCACTGACAAGGCTCTCGTTGGAGACTTGCGGAGGTGCGACAATTCCGCTTCGTCGTCGAACAGCACCAAGGCGCCCGTAACCTTCGTGGCCTGTCCCAGCTGCTGGGCCCTTGCGAGATACTTTCTGCTTCTCCTTCTTTTCCTTATCGTTGGGCGTACTCTCCGAGGCAGCCTTCTTGCGCCCAAAGAAGGGAAACCGAGAGCCAGAAGAAGCCTTGACAGTCGGCGATGGCGTACCGCTTGCTCGAATAGGGCCAGAGATGCTAAGCTTTCTTCGGCCCGCCAGTTTGGAGGATGTGGCGGACTGTTCAGCCGTGGGTAAGTTTGATGTTGATGCGCTCTTGTTGGACTGGAGACCTGCAGTTTGGAAAGGGCGGGGGATTGTTGCCTCGCTATCACGCCTCTCCAGATTGGCTGCTCGGAGTGCCAGGCTGCTCTGGATGACTGGAATGGGAGTAAACAGCTGGGACTTGAGGTCGGACGTGCCATCTCGGCTGGGTCGACGCGGCGGCATAGCCTGCGGTGATGGTGAATGATAGCTGCGAAAAGGAAGACCAGCCCTCGGCGGGGATGCAACCGCCATGGGCTGGCTACCAGGCTGGCGTCCTTGTCTGGGAGAAAGTTCATCCTCGTCTTCACTGGCGAACAGTTTCTGCGAAGACTTCCGCGGAGGGGGGCTTGGCGGCGGCGCTGCGAGGCTCTTGCCACCTCTCCTCTCCTTCTTTGAGTTCATGACACTACCCTTGACAGTAGAGCTTGATGAGGACGAAGTCAGAGACTCTCGAACCGCAGCCAAGCCATGGGGATCGACACTGATAGAGTCCACCTCGTTTGATATGCTTCCAGTCCTTCGTCGAGTAACAGGCGGGCGAGTGAAAGCGGGACTATGCTGTCGAAACTTGTTCACAGGGAAGCCTCTACTGGGAGCAATGAGACCAGGAGACTGTGACGATATCGAAGTTGGCGTGGTGTCTCGGCTATACGGCCCCGGGCCCGGGGACGCAGAGAACCTGGTTGAGGGACTGCCACTGATGGCGCTGACTTGGCTGCTGTTGGCTGAGAAGAGCAGGCTGCCAGGCGTGGGCGGAGGGAGGTCATGAGTAGCCAAGCGGTAGGGCATGTCCACAGCCGGTCTATTCGAAGCACTGCGAGCTCGGTCATGATGGCGGTAGCGATCTAACTCGGGGTAAATCACGGGGGACTGGCCAACGGGCTTTGAGACCTCTGGCGGCTCCTCTCTCTGGACTGTGCTTGGGCTAGCCGTGATACCCCGATCAAGTTGGATCCCGAGTGCCGAAGCCACATTTGGTTGCGATTGGCGCCTGGATGAGCTCGAACCCGGATTGGCAGCGCCATTGAGCAGGCTGCCTGCCTCGGGCGATGCAGAGGGCTTCGTCCGTCTCGGCAAGCTTTGACCCAATCTCGAACCACCGTCGAAAGACCGACTGGAAGATGAAGATCCTGACTCTGTTTGCGTATGGGATCGTGAATAGCCAGAGGAGCTCGTTGCCGAGCCCCATGATTTCGAATGCCGGTCTGGGACGACCTTGGAAGCAACTTGCTGTGTAGTAGAGGCAGAAGGGCGGCGTGTTGACGATGGGAGAGGGACTCGGCTGGCAACACGGGGTTGTAATGGCTCTTGCTTTACCAATTTCGGGGCTTCCGCCTCTCTTTCGCTCGTCCGGGAGGTAGACTTTGGAATGCCACTCAACAACCTGGAGTCTTCGGGTCGTCGTCGAAAGCCATCGGAGGGCCTGGCCGGTAACCCATATCCCACCTTGGGGGATGCCATACTGTTCCAACCTCGTGGGAGATTTGTCGTATTCCAAACATGCCTCCTACAATATAGAGAGAGGCATGCTTCGTCCAAAGGGTTATTCGGTTCGAAGTTTGTCTTGCCTTTAAGTCAGCCAATGCAACGTAACTAACACGTAGGAGTAGTGAGGCCGGGACAGAGCGCGGGTAATTGCTGTAAATACGACGCTTAGATCCATGTAGAAAGAGCATCCTTACCTCGTTGGCCCAGAGCTGGGTCGACGCCTCACTTTTCTCGCCGTTGTCTTGGGCGTCGAGGTGTTGTTAGTACAGCTGCAGGCACACCAAATCTAGCCACAGAAGGCAGGTTATGACAGTTTCTGAGCACACAGCTCTCAAGCAGGATAGAAATGTCCCGCAAAGGCCGTTGGAAGAGCAAAGACGAGGTGTTCTTTCTAAGATAAACGAATAGAGCAGAAGGAGATTGTTCTGCGAGAAAAGGGAACAATGTAACAATGGAGTGCCGGTAGTATAAAAGAAACCGGCAGACTCAGAGGACCGGAGCAGTGGGGATGCAGCCCGAGACGGGAATAAGCTGAGCTAGGCACGGAGCAGCTTAGTGCTGCTGAGAGCGCTTGCGAGTAGGTAAATTTGACGGTGCCAGGCCAGGAGGGCACTTTGGCTTGGGGCGGACGACAGGGGTGATGTCGAGCTTGGAAAGGATTTTGCCAGCTGGGGATCGATTGGTCCCGTCTGCGAGTACAGGTACAGGCGTGGCAAAGAGGCACGAGGAGGAGTGGAGTGGCGAAACCAGGTCCGGCGGTAGGGTTCAGGTCGACGCTGAGGACAAACCAACGAGAGTCGCGATAGACGAGACTCAGAGAGCGGGGAAACCTGGTGGATGAGGCTGCTGGGAGCGGATGGGACAAGCAGCCTTTGTAGACACGATCATTGGCATCTCGGTGGGTGTGATGCCTCTTTAGGCGATGAAGGCCTCCGGATGGAGCTTCGTGAGTGGTTGACCGCACCCAGGGCCGGGAGTGGTGCCTGTGGAGAGCAGCAGGCCAGGCCAGCAACGCTTTGACGGTGCCCGAAGCAGCAAGCAGCACACAATGGCACGCTGCTGGCGGCGGGCTTGGGCGGCGGTCAAATGTGGCCGATCGGAGGCAGTGCGATGGCCAGTCCATGGGTGCTGGGGGGTCCCGGACGCTTGGGGAGATCAGTGGCACTGCGCTGCTGCGACTGCAGATGCAGCTGCAGCTGCGCCGCCATGCGCGCATGAAGACTTGTCCTGGCCCGTGGCATCCAAGCATCCCATGGCCTCTCGCCAGCGCCAGGCCGGGCAGAGCGAGGCGGCGATTGGGCACGAGGCCTGGCCGAGGGCGTCTGTTCCTGGCAGTCCAAGCATCCAGAGTATGCCAGAATACCCAGCAGCAGTGGGGCGTCCGAGGGTCTGCGGTCTCCGCTTGGCCTCGCCGTTGAAGATGAAAGGCTGCCGTGGTCCCTGGAGGCGCCAGGCGGCGAGGGCTAGGCCGACGGGACACGGCGTGCGAGGGACTCATTGGCTCCCAGGCTGACTGTCGCGCGCAATTGGGGCTCGCGGGGGCTGCAGCTGGTAGAGAAGAGGAATGGACAGGTCGTTGGTGAGGCGGAGGAGACAGACGAGATGGGATGGCCACATGCTCAGTCGCAGGTCGCGTCAACCACGACCCAGGACAAAGGCCAGCGTGGTCGTCGTGCCAGCATCGTCATCGTCATCATCATCATCATCATCATCGTATCATTGCCATCGTCAACACTGAAGAGGCGACTCTGCTGGCAGCCACATGGCGCTCGTTCAACCGTCCATCCGTCTGCCAGCCTGACTGCCAGCTTGCCTGTCTGCCTGTCTGTCTGTCCGTCCGTTCCACCTCTGGCGCATCCCCCTTCTTCTCTCGTCTGCTCCAGCCGAGCGTCGCCGGCCGCTTACGCCCATGCTGAGAGGAGGCCACCAAGCCACAGCCGAATGTCGTCTGCTAGAGGCTGTATGCATGTCTGAGACATGTCTTGCCTGTCCATGTATGTCTCATTTCTCTCGACTCCGACAGGTCGATCCAGAGGACGCTGCGTCTGCATGTCTCAGCACTTCCGCACGATCTGCGTCGTTAGCTTATCCACCTGCTGCTACTGGACGGCGTCGACAGGCGTCAAATTTTTTTGCAGGGCCAGGAGGGTGTGAGAGAGATGGATGGTGAGGAGCAAAGAGGGTGTGCAGCTTTTCGTATGTGGTGCCTTCCCTGTTGCTGCTTGCTGGTTGCTGGTGGTGATAGTACTCCTTCGCGTGTAGCTTGTCAGCGTGCAGTGGGTGTGATGGTACACACGCCCAAGTATTACTCCGCACTCTTTCTCTGTCTGTCCCTCTCTCTCTCTGCTCACAACCTGAGGCACCGAGTTTGCATCTGTCAAACATTCAACCTTCAAACTTGCACATGTCAACAACTGACGAGCCTCAATGTTCATCTGCCCCGCATCGATCCATCAGCCTCCATCTCGCCTGTTTCCGTCACGCTCACCACATCCATTTCCAGCGTCAGGGTACCGAGTCACAGACCGCCCAGGCCTGCTATTTCGTGATGATAGCCATTGTTGCCCTGCTAATCTACCTAGTTGTCTCCCTAGTGCGTCCTTCACCCACCCCGACGTCTAGTCTAGATGGTGATGCAAGACAGACGCACCTGCAAGATGCATCCTTTCGCTCAATTGGCGAGCAGAGCGAACACACCGGCATGCTGCTCACCCTCTTGCGACCTCGCGCGGGCATCAATCATCCCGCTGCCCGAGAGAGACACCACCAGCTGGACGAGGGCATCAGCCTGGATATTGTGGTGGTAGCACTGAATCCTACGCTCGTATCCAGTGCTTTCCAGATGAACGCCTAGGCGGGCAGACGTCGGCCCTTAATCAAGGTTTGGAAATGCTCCTGCGTGGGCCTCTGGTGCATCTTTCATCTGCATGCAACCGGCTGGGGAGCATTACTACTACTACTAGCACGAGCAGATGCTACGGAAGGGCTGCCGGGGACGCTCGCTACGACGATTCCTCCCAGGAGATCAGTGTCCATTGGCGGCCCTAGAGTACCAATGTTTTCCTTGCGTGCTCCTCAACCAGCCCTTCGGCGGAAGGGGAGGCACTGCTCGCAGACATGAAGAATTTTTCCTTCCATCTCGTCATTTCCGATATTGTCACACGTTAACACATTAACATACCGTTGTTGCACTACAGATGATCCCGGAGGCCAGCCGCAACCGCAAATTGTCGCACCACCATTATCACACCGCGGAAGCAAAAGATGGGCAGGGGTCTGTCACTCCAAGTGGGCAGTCCAGCTCTGGAGGCTCACTCTGTCCACTTTCTCCTCGAACGCACGGCCCGTACCAGGTACAAGACCATGCTCATCCAGCCCGAAGCGTGTGATTCGTTCAAATTATATGAGATGGCGGCTGTCTCTACGCTACCATTGGCTACTATTTTCAGATTTTCCTGCCAATCACTCTTCTCCAGGCTTCCCGTCCCCTGCTCGCCAGGATCTCCCCCATAGCAGAACGCCTTGCCCACGAAGTCACTAAGCAAACAAGCACCGCACCCCAGCGTGCTAATTACACGATACGCCTCAGCTACTCTGTGGCTCGACTCGAGACATACAGATTGCAAGACGCTGACGTGAGTCCTTGATAAAACCGGGCACAGGCTGAAATTCTCAGGAAACCACTGTGTTAGTTATTCCTGATGGATTTTCTGTATTCATCGCGAATCTGGGGCCGGCAGTCTGCTACAAGGTACGATGCATCAAGGTCCCATGATGGAATCAAGTGCATCCGGAGTCTCGTCCAGGCAGTGCCACGAGAGATAATAATAGCAAACGGGTAATCCCTTCCTTCCCGGGCACGCCTCCTCTTCTCAAACGCTAAGCTTGCGGCAGATGTCGGGTCAGTCATCCTCGAGGCCGTATTCGCGACCCAACAGCTCGGGGCACACAACGGAGCTGAAAACTGTATCCATGGCATGGAAGGCAACTAGTGGCGACGTGTACTGTATGTGCTGGCCATGTCCATCGTCACCGACTGCAGCTTATGCGTGTTGGACTGAGGCCTTCAAGCAGGTCTTGCAAGGCTTCTGCATAAGTTGCCTCTCGTGCAAGACGAAAAGCAGCATCATGACGCTGGACGGAGGCAACCGGCCAGCTATGTAAGAACATCAGAGCTGCATTGAGCTGCTTCGCCACACTTGGCCACAGTCGGGACAGGCTGTGAGGCTTGTTGACGTGGCACGTCCCGCTCCCGCCGTGGCGCCGTGGGGCTGGTCTGTGGCTTGTCCACAACTTGCCAGCTCCCGCACTGGCGCTTTTTGCTGACGACAATTCGAGCATGGCAATGGCAGTTGGCTGTTTGGCTGTCTCTCTCTCTCTCTCTCTCTGGGGTTGCACGAGCGCGTGTTTCCACGACCATGTTCGGACCATTTCTGCATGGGTCAGGCATGGACATTGTGCACGGACAGCCGAGTTCGTCAAGTCAGGCAGTCGTACAAGGTCCCCGAACCTCGGCCAGCACCAGCACTCCCTTTGTCTGCTGGCCGGCTTGACAAGGCATACCTACTGTACTAATACCGTCGGCATTGTCTACTAGTACTTGTACTAGGACGGTGCACTGCCGGAAAGGCAGACGCCTTGAGTCCGACTGTCTGACTTAGTCAGGACCTGACTTCAGAACTTACTCGTACCTACTACACGCAGGACCAAGAAGACGTCTTCTCACAGCAACACCTGGCGAATCACGTCGGTGCCCCTGCCCTCGCAAGCCTTCACACCCGGCCTTCCATCGATCAATATCAAGGTGTGCAAGACGCCAGGCGGAGGACGCCATCCCGTTAGCTCAGCAAGGGTTTCTCGCGCGCCATTGGCTCCCGGATTTCAAGGTCCCCAAGTAACGTGACGGGGAGTGCACCACTCTCCAACGCCGCTCGACCAGTCCTTGGCCATTGTGCCGCCCGAGTGCTGAATCATGTCTACCGAGAAGGGGGCCTACACGTGTGGGACCCAGCTCGGAGGTTGACTCGCCGAGGTGAAAAATCTCTGCTCCGTCTCCCTCCAGCATCGAGGACCGAGCGAGCCGCTAGACGGGCTTGACGGGCTCCTTGTGTGGGTGATTAACACATGGTTGGAGCAGAGCATTTGACATGGTGCACAGGAAGCCATTGGCAGCCAGCTTTTTGCTCGATATGCGGGATTGGCGCGTTGCTCTCTGCTAATACTTTCTAGGGCAGCTTGGAGACGGTTCTTTTGCTGAGCTTGTTGTTGGTCCATTCGTATGACACATCAAGTCGGTCGACCCTGGTGGCTGCGTTGAAGGGCTGTTGGGCCGCCGAGTGATTGGCCTCTGTTCCCTGATTGACGCAGCGGCTGATATCTGACTACATGGGAACTATCTGTTCTTGGATCCCCTCCGCATTATCCGCCTGGCATGAGTTCTTTCTTGTCGTTGGACGCCTCGGACAATCAGCTCAATCTAACCTCACATTGGACACTCGTCAGAGGTTGGCTTGACGCTGCTTTGAGCCGGCTATAGCCCCGTGCGGTCGAAGGAGCTCGAAGGATCAGAAACTGGCCTCTCGACGCTTCTCTATCAACAGACAGTGGTGTTTGCTACTGCAGACGAATCACCAGCACCTCGGCGATACAACCTCACAAGTGCTCAGCTGAGGAGAAGAGTCTTGCCATCACCTCCATTTCTCCTACTGCCCTCCTTTTACCCCCATCTTACCCATCGTTCTTTTGGCACTTTAGTGTCTCCCTTCCACAATACAATCACGCCTGGTCTGAGAGTCCCTTCCAGCGTCCTCCAAGCCAGAAGCCCACCGAGAGGCTTCCCTCGTTGCGATTGGCCCCCCGTCAAACCCACCCTCAGCTGCCAGAGCTGGCTAGCGACATGCTCTGACCTGCATGCATTGCCCGGCGCGTAAATCAACCCCCTCTTATTCAGCGAGATGGCAAGTCCAGTGTTTTCAAGTTGAGACGATGGATGGAGCTTGCCAGACGAAAGTGACTGTTCACAAAACCAGGCACATCATTGTTAGCTTGACGGCTAGATTGACTTCCCGCACGGAAGTGCCAAATGCCTAGTATCTACACTACTACTACTACCTCTTACACTAGGTAGGCTCTGACTTGGTAGGTAGGTAGGTACTATGAGGGGGTGGAAAGTAGTAGGTAATGAGCCTATATATACTCGCCAGTGACAAGTCGACTACAGTATTATCACTTTCTCACGGGGAGAGAGGGGGATTCAAAGCAGACGACGGCGAAAAGAGGGTGCGGACTCGGATCCTCTCGCCTTGTTTCCTGCTACTGTATGTCGCCAAATGAGTTGTGAGGCCATGATCTCTGAGGTGGTGGGAAGGGGGAAGGGGGGGCTGTTGAACGGCGGGGGGGGGGGGGGATTTCGGGAGGGGGGGGGCGAGATGGAGATGTGATTGATGTGACGAGGCTGGGATGTGGGCATGGAGCGGAGATCACGGGTTTTTTAGTCTGGCGTTGTGTGATATTACATACTAGTAGTACCTTAAGTACTATTACCATACGAGTAGTGTGCGATATGATATAGTGGCATGTACAATCTAATCTCTTGCTGACCTATCTTGTGGATGAATGAAGGTAAATATCGAGAACGGATAGGAGCAAGAGGTGTAGCTGGGATATGTGTAGCTGGTGATGATCGTGATTATGGCTGTGCTAGGGAGGGATGCGGATGTGAAGATTTTGTTTTCCTGCTTGATTTGTGTCTTTGTTCATGTGTTGGGAGGGGTTCTTGTGATAGATGCCCGTATTGCGGAATGTCTACCTAGCTACCTAGGGATCTGTAAGTGTGATAAGTGACGGAATGAAGAGATAGAAGAGCTACCTGGTAGGTAGTTCACTTTACTCGGACACTGCGGGTTACTGTCACATGTCAACAGAAACCCTGTTAATAAGTCGAAAGCAAATCTCTCTTTGTCATCGAGACAGTTACGTTTCTCACTACCTTACCTAGAGCAAAGCCTACCTTATAGTTCGTTGCAAGAAGAGAGCTTTGAGGTCGTTCAAAGATACCACACATTATCTTAAAGTATAAGGAAGAGATGTGGTATACCTACCGATAAAGACATACCTAATTGAAAAGCAATATTTACGAAAAGGGGGAGAGTCACAAGAAGAACCAAGATAACAGACAGTTCTTAGACAACAAAGGTGTAGGTAGTCTTTCACAACGCTGCACGAAGGATTCAACGTTTGTGAATTGCCCAAATACCATCGTAAGGTAGTACTCAATGTCTTCTTGAAAGTATCGAGATCATTTCTTCCAATACACTGAAAATGCTTCCATTCTCCTATAAGCTTAGTGAATTGGCAGTGGTCCCTTGTTCTTGAAGTTGTCGAGTTTCTCCCCTCTTGTCCTGGTCTTGGCCTCGGTCAAGTTCATTGTATCAAGCGAGACAACAAACGGTTCTCCCAGACGGACGATACTTGAGCTTCAAGCTCAATGAATACCAGACACGATGGCAACAGCCATCACGACAACTACTCAGCATCGTTCAGATCCCAGAACGCCGGTAAGCCTCTTATTTAAGAAAGAAAATTGCGCTTTCGTATGATGTATATGCCATTCATTTCCGTCCAAAGGGTTTCCCCCCCTTTCCCGCCCGAGCATTTTCAGTACAGATTTTCGTTCTTTACCTCCCGCATCTCCCCAGATACTCTCTGCCTTGAAAGAAGAAAGAAGTGAGAAAGAAAAAGAAAAAAGAGAAAAAAAAATTGAGAAATCAGATTGTCAAATCTCCAACTTCCGATATACTCCATGCGACGCACGTTTCCTTTTCCATCGCCTTGCAGTCGAAATGACGTTTGGCCTATCCCTTACGCCGCAGCGAATCGGGCAGCCCGCTTCTCGGCCTTTGCCCGCTCGACAGGATCCTCTATGACGCTGCCAAACTTGGGCTTCCCCGACGCCTTGCCGCCCTGGTCCCGGCCGCCCCTGTTGCGCGCGCTCCGCCTCTCGTTGCCCGAGGGCTCCCTGCGGTCCTGGCCGCCACCGCCGCGCCTCTTGCCGGGCCGGCTGTTGCCGTCGCCGCCCTCGTTGCGGCCGCGGCCGCGCTTCAGCGGCCTCTCGGGCAGCGCCGAGTCCAGGCCGCCGGCGATCTCCTTGTCGTCGATGCCGAAGCGCTTCGCCCGCTCGGCCAGCTTCTTGGTCTCGTCGTCGAGCTCCGTGCCGAAGCGCTTGGCCCGCTCGGCGCGCTTCTTAAGCTCCTCGTCGGCGGTCGTGGACGAGAGACCCATGGCAAAGGACGGGGCAGGCGCCTTGGGCGCTTCCTCGGCAGCGGGCTTCTCGCCGGCTTCTTCAGCGGGTTTGGACTCGTCCTGGGCTGCTTCTTCTGGGGCGGCGGCGGCGGCAGGCTCTTCGGCGGGCTTCTCTACGGGTTGGGCGGGCTGCTCCGGCTCTGGTTTTGAGGTGGTGGCTTCGTCGTCGCTGTAGTTGATTTCATCCTCCTTGTTCTCTGCTGAAATCGTCCTTTGTCAGCGTCGCTCTTTGCTGGAGGTTGGGCGTGTTCCGCTTCGGTGTCGCTTGGCGTCTAAATGAAGGGATTTCGCAGCTTCTACATACCAGACTTTTCGGCTTCCGGGGCGGACGCGGTGTTCTTCTTGTCGTCTTCTTGCAGTCGCGCAATGAGGTCGGCCTTGTTGCCGGTCTGGGGAAGCTTCTTCTCGGCAAGGAGCTTCTTCAGCTCCGGCACCTTGAGCGAGGTGTAGTCGGCCATTGTGACGGCGGTCTGATCAGTCGGTGATTTTTTTTGGATGAAGGAACGTCGCGCGGTTGCGGTGACGGTAAATCGAACTGAGGGAGCGCAAGAAAGAAAGACAGAGTCCAAGTGCCGCAGAACCACGTCAATTGGTGGAAGCGGGTAGACGCGCGGCTGCTCAAGGGCGACCAAGGTAACGGCGGAAAGGCGCAGGTATTGGCGGTGAATCAGGGGATGCGTGACTGGAGGCGCGAGAAGGAAGAAGGTGGTGTTGGCAAAGGGAATTGACCAGCGAAGGAAATGAAGAGGAAGAGGAAAAGGAACGTCGAGGCGAGACGCGATGCGAGCCGCTATTACGAAAGGCGAGGCTGGGGAGCGCTGATTTGCACTGGGAAACGGCGCACGGACCAGCTGGTACAGTCAGCCAGAGATGATGGACTTGAAGCAAGTCGCTTCTGTTGACCGCATGAATGGCTGTTGTTTGGTAGCAGAAAGGAATTTCAAGGTACCTTGATTGTCATAAAGGCTTCTACGTGCCGCAACGGACTGCAGACGCTCAACGATGGATTGTTCTTTGTATCATAGGTATTGTTTTCGTGTCTTTGTAGTCGTTGTACTTGGCTGTATCGTGGGGACGCCTACCCTGTATCTCTCTGCTTCACTTTGTGTGACCTTTTCTGAAGGGCGTTGCTTCAGCTCTTATAGAATGCTTGCCTGTATGGTTGGATTTGGTGAGGTCTCTGGTAATTTTGATGCTTGGGATTGCCTATTGACCTGATTATTGAGATTATGGCTGTGGCTTGAAATAACCAATCTGACATTCATCATTAGATCCAGCCTGCAGCCTACCAAGGTAGGGCCTCCAAGTACCTAGGGAGTACGAATTGAGCATTTACAAGAGGTTCATGTACTCAGTTACATGCTCTGACTATGCCTTATGATTTCCCATATCAGATTCTTCCCCATGGCCTCCGGATTCCCCCATACTACGATACTATGTACTGTCAAATTCAAACCCGACTGCCATGACATGGATCCCTTCACCGTAACATCAACCGCCGCGATCGAACCTGGAGCGATACTCGATACCGGCAAGATCTTGCATTAGTGCTGCTGCTTCCAGGGGCTCTCCAGCAGCTCCAGGCCCTGAGCTCGCTACAGCTCGGCGGTCCTGACCCACTGCAGCAAGGCTCTACTAGAGCCCTACTAGTAGTAGTCGGATCAACGTGGACCCCGGCCTCGGACCAATTGCGTGCCTCGTCCTGCGGCCTCCCGGCATTGGATGCTGAACCCCTTTGGCCGCCGCATGGACGAGCTTCCACATGCCACGAACCGCCAAACCGCCTCCTGGCCAGACGGAGATCCCACCGCTTCAAGGCAGACTTGGATACCTACCTAGTCCTATACCTGCTGGCTTGCACTTTGGCTGCATGAGTCCCTTGCCCTGACACACAGACAGCTGCCTCGACTCCGAACCCTCCCGCGCGGCTGCGGCCAACTGTATCGAGTGGCGGCATTCGATATCCGACACCCCTCCGCGATGCTTGACTGCACAAAGATGCGAACCACGCGATACTAAGCAGATTGTGCTGCGCGGCGCATTACCCTCACAGTTGATCCATCCATTGTTTGACACGCAGCTTGCAGCCCCCGCGGGCATCCCTCCAAGATGACGCGACGAATAGTACGTTGCCCAGCTCCCTTCTCTGCTACTGTTGGCTGGTCGCATCGACGTGGACACGAGACAGCAACTAACACGATGCTTGTTCCGTCAGGTCCGCACGCTCACCCAGCTGGGCGCCGTCGTGTTCGTCACCACCATCGTCATCTTCTTCCTCGACCGAAACTACAGGGTCCTCCCCAACGCCCTCCACAACTACATGCCCTCCCACCACCCGGGCCTCGTCGTCACCGACATCACCCTCACGACCTGCTCCTCCCTCAAGCCCTTTTCCTCCTGCGAGCTGAACCCCAACGAATGGCAGCGGATCGAGAAGGAGCTGTACCTGGGCAGGGCGTGGACATCCAAGGCGTACCTGCACGTCCGCCGCAAGCGCGAAGAGGAGCTGTCCGAAGATGACAAGGTCGTCGTCGGCGTCTCTGTCGGATCGCTCAACCCCGGCGACGTCGCCGACGGCAGCGAGCACTGGGAGCCCCGGCCGGGCGGCATCTGGCTGAAGCGCTCCCGGAATAAAAAGTCGAGCGACTCGGACGCTGCCGTGACGGACGTCGACGTCGTCTTTGGCGACGACGCAACCGAGGCGCGCAACGGCTGGGGCATCGTCGGGCGGCCTCTGCACCTCGGCACCGGGGGCAACCTCCTCAGCGCGCACCTGACCGTGCGGAGGGGAGCGCCTCACCAGCCGAAGAAGCCCAAGCCGAGAATCCCCGACAACGGCCGGTTCAAGATCATGCAGGTGGGAGACTTGCACCTCAGCACCGGCGTGGGCGAGTGTCGCGATGCTGTGCCGGATAGCTACAAGGGGGGCAAATGCGAGGCCGACCCCAGGACGCTCGACTTTCTCACCAAGATGCTTGACGAGGAAAAGCCCGACCTCGTCATCCTGAGCGGCGACCAGGTCAACGGTGATACAGCCCCTGACGCACCATCGGTAACGTGCCCTTGTTTGTTTCGAGCGAGAGTCCACTGTGTAACTCGCTTTTGTATGGGACAGGATGCTGACGTTCACAGGCCATATACAAGTACGCCTCTCTTCTGATCGAGCGCAAGATCCCCTACGCCGCCATCTTCGGCAACCACGACGACGAAAAGTCCATGTCGCGCGAAGGCCAGATGGCCCTCATGGAGACACTGCCCTACTCCCTCTCCCAGGCCGGCCCCGTTGACGTCGACGGCGTCGGCAACTACTACATCGAGGTCCTGGCGCGGGGCCACAACGAGCACTCCGCCTTGACCATTTACCTACTCGACACCCACGCTTACTCGCCCGACGAGCGGCACTATCCGGGGTACGACTGGGTCAAGCCCAGCCAGATTGACTGGTTCAAAAAGACCAGTGCGAGCCTCAAGAAGAACCACGACGGATATACGCACCGCCACATGGACATTGCCTTTATTCACATACCCCTGACAGAATACGCAGATTGGGACAAGCCCCGCGTGGGCGAATGGCGCGAAGGCGTCACAGCGCCCGTCTACAATACGGGCTTTCACGACGCTCTCATTGAAGAGGGCGTCGTCATGGTCAGCGCCGGCCAGTAAGTCAATTATACCACCCCCCTCCCCCCCCCCCCCCCCCCTCTCTCTTTCTTCCTCTCTCTCACCCCATACCACATCCACTAACAAAAGGGGGGCTCAAAGCGACCACGTAAACGACTACTGCTCCCTCTCCTCCCACGGCGACGAAACCAAATCCTTCCTCCCCGGCTGGGACCAGAAACTGCCCCTCGAATCGGAAAAGGACAAGGACAAGGATGCCGCCGCGAACAAGGTGCCCGCCATGTGGATGTGCTACTCGGGCGGCATCGGCTTCGGCGGGTACGCCGGCTACGACGGGTACATTCGCCGCCTGCGCCTCTTCGAGGTGGACACGGAGGAGGCGCGCATCACGACGTGGAAGAGGGTCGAGTTTGGGGATAATGCCCAGGCGAGGGTTGACCAGCAGATTCTCGTCGAGGCGGGCAAGGCGTATTTCGCGCCGCCTCCGTCTCCGCCGCCACCGCCTTCTGAGGCTGGGGAGCAGCAGCAGCAGCAGCAGCAGCAGTGATATTAGAGGATAGGAGTGTTATGGATATGCGCCCAAAGAATATCATTATTGAGCAGGATTTATACATTGGCATTGGGTCTCTATGATGGGGGAGGGGACCTGAGTGATGAGTTGTTTTATCAGTCACTCACACTTATTGGGTACCTCTATAACGAGTACCGTGAGTACTCTGAGTGCCTTGTCAACTTTGCAGCCATTACTTTTTGGCTCTGGCAAGAAAGAATATTGGATGTCGGGAGATTGTATATAGTATAACTTTTGCTGGAGACTTGGCATGAGACAGGCTGGTTATAGCCAGGCCATCTCTATATAGGTACCGACGACAAATCAATCATTGATGAACAGAGGGTATGTATGATTGAAAGCAATGTTATTTACAAAGCACTGCCGCCATTCTGGCCGCGCCACCTGAACCAGAAAACTCCTCGCTCACCCCAATACAGATAAATACAGACAAAACCACCTATATCATGAACACAAGAAAAGAGAGAAAAAAACAGTAAAACGTTGAGCTAGCCAAAGTGTAGCCCACAAAAAGAGAAGGTGGCGAAAGACACCAAAAAATTGACCGAGACAGGGGTCGAACCTGCAACCTCCTGATGTACTTAATCGTAGTCAGACGCTCTGCCATTGAGCCACACGGCCGATCTTGCTTGTTGAATGCCTGGCCTGGAAAACTGCGTTATAGCAGCGAGACAAAGCCAGCCACCTTGCTCGGCTCGAGTCAAACTCACAGCGAAGAGTTAGAGTGTTCCCCTCCTCTTCATCTCCCTCAGGAGGCCCATCAGATTCAACACCTTCTCATCGCGGCACTTCTGGAAGAATGGCTCATTCTCGTACATCTCTCTGAGCTTGGATCCCGTCTCGACAACCTCTCCCTCGCGGTACAGCTCAGTCGCCGACTTCTTGATCGCAATAACGTCGAGGTACAGCTGTTCCGCTTCGCCAAATGCCCGGCGACGGGAAGCATCGCGAAGAACCGCCTCCTCCTTCGAGTTCGTGTAGCGATCGCGAGTAATGGTGTTGGTCGAGTTGATTGTTGAACGACGCCGGTATCGAGATCGAAAAGCGCGCGGAGTTGAACTCGAATCAGACGAGTGAATGGATGCCGTCTCGTCCTCCTCGCCCAGCAAGTGGGCATGCAGGCGGCAGCTTAATGCCAGGTTCTCCATCGTAGTCGTATGAAGAGGGTGAGCCCTGCCAAGCGAGGCAGCCATGATATCCAATGCTTTCCGGTACTTGACCTTGGCGTCATCATAACGGCAGCGTATGTCGTCAATGACAGCCAGCTTCTGCAGTGCGTGAGCTGTGTTTGGATGTTCTGCCCCAAGGATTCTTGTCTTGATCTCGAGTGACTTCTTGTAGAGTGCTTCGGCCTCGTCCATGGCGTTGCTAGCCTTGGATACGTGCGCAAGCTCATCAAGGGCTTCGATGGTGATTGGATGGCCCGGGCCAAACATGCTTTGGTACGAGATGTACACTCGGCGATAGAGTGCCTGTGCCTCCTCCATCTTTCCCAGCTGTTCTAGCGTTGATGCGAGCTTCTGGACAGTACTCACAGTCGCCGCATCCGTCGGCCCAAGCTCTTCCTCTTGCTTATGCTCGATGATTCCGTACTGGTCTTCCGCGTAGTCATAGTCACCTCGAGCGGTTGCCGCTGATATCTTCGCCAGAGCAACCTTGAAGCCGAGGGCTTGGTCGATGGAAGCCAAGTCAATGTCCATCAGGACTTCGGCGCTCTTCTCGTGTTCTCCTGCTTGTTGAAGCAATGAGGCGAGTGACAGGGACGTTTGTATTCTTTCCCTGGCATCCATACAAGACCTCTGCCGCAACGAAAGATTGAAGCAGCCAATGGCTTGCTCCAACGCACCTTGCGTCATGCAGACGTTTCCCAAGACATGCCACGCGACATCGTCATCGTCGCGCTCTAAGATGCGGGACCAGTCATCATAGCAAGCCTTTGCGTGAGGCGCCATGATCCTCCCGAAATCGTGAATCTCCGGTAGGCTCGACGAAGTCGTCTCCCGTTCCCGGATGCCATCCACGCAGATATTGCAGGCTAACCATGCGTTCTCCTCTTGTTCTCCATCCTTGAGCGTTGCGCGCACGTGCTCACGCGCCGCAGGGTCGAGTACGAAAGCTTCGAAGGATGATGTCGAGGAATTCGTGGCTTGCGATGCCGATGGTGAGCTGGGCGATGAAGTTGCGGAAGACGGTGCTGAGTCGGGGGAAGGTGTTTGGATGAAGTTTTGATCAAACAGGTATTGCAGAACATCGTCAAGTCGGTTCGCTTCTTGAAAGGCTACACTATAGTTAGTCTTGAACCTGAGAAGAATCCCTTCACGCCTACCTCTTATCTCTTTCAATGTCTCTGTGAACCGCGCCGGCGTGTTCCTGTGGCCTTTGGGTGAACCGAACAAGGCGACGGGAATGGCTGTGTACGAAAGCATAGCGCTGACACGAAGTACTGTCCGTGTGACGGAAGATTGATCAAGCATAGAGCCCAGTGTCCTCAGCGGCATGTTGAACGCGACCTCACTCTGGTAGTAAGAGACGTCCAGACCCTTCTTGTTGATGGTCGAGGCGGCGAGCGCTATGCTCTGGGGATGGCACTTGAGCTGCCGTACTAGCTTATGAGCTGCCTCATCTTATGTGCGTGTCAGTTATCCAAGCACCCAAATCAAAGAGTCTTTCATACCTTCGTGATCGCTTTCTAGTGACTCGTCTCCCACTATTGAGCGAAGTAGCTGTACGGCTTCTTCGTCCACCATGGGTCCGACATGCAGCTTCGTACCCCATATGCAGTTGCTGCTATCCCGAGAGGTCAAGATAATCTTTCCAGTAAGGGTGAGTGGAATAAAGTCGGATATGTCGAAAGAGGGTTCAACATTGTCGAATATGAGCAGCCACTTGTCATTTTCGGGCCTCATCAGCCAGTCTTTGACGGCTCGCACCACAGCCTTGACTCGCAACGTATCTAGTTGCTGAATGCTCTTCACCTTGAGCATCTCTTCGACGCCCGTGAGTCCCAGCTCGTTTTCGACCCGAGATCGAGGAGCATTTTTGGAGTAGTACTCAACCAAGTGGGTGGCAAACTCGAGGTAGCTTGTCACGGCCGTCTCCCAGCTCTCGGCCCAAATCCAGAAAATGAACGAAAGCTCGTGCTTCTTGAGTTCAGCGTAGTCTCGTGCAAGAGTAGTCTTGCCAATGCCGGCGTCTCCCCATAAGCTGGCGATGCTGATATGCAGAGCTTGCCGATCAGGGGATGGCCTGAAGCTGGCTTCAAGCTGTTCGAGCAGACTCTTTCTGTGAATGATGACGCTCGGCTCAGATGGCAGCTTGTATGGAATGTTGAAACCTTCGCTTAGGTATTCCAGTTGCTGATCTAGGTCACCGTATTAGTCTTGTTGATTTGAGCAATGGCATTTTACTCACCTGTGACGGGATCAAACGCCTTTCGCTTCTTCTCCAACAGTCCAGAAGCAGTGGCATGGTGGACCATGCCGCGAAACTTGCTAATAAACGTCCTGTAGTTGGCATCTCGGCCCTCGAACTGAACCAGGCCTGAGTGAGTAGCAGAGAGTCCGATTTGCACGCCATCTGAGCCCGACATGGAATGCCGCGGCTCAACCACAAATCCGTCGTCCGATTGCTTAGTCTCGTGAAAAGACAGCTGCGGCAGGTTCGCTGTAATCGCCTTGAATGCCTCCATCTGGTTCTCTAACCACTCGATGTCCTGTGGCTGGGGCTGCATGGAGTGCCCTCGAGTAGATGCCGGGTGCTCGTCGAAGCCGGATGTGGTCCTTCGAATGACATGCGCGAGCGGCGTGGGCGACAGTGGCTTCCCCGGTGACAAGGTGCCCAGGAAAGCCACTCCGCAAGTCGCCAGCTCAATGTCCTTGAGCTCCGCATCGATGGCCTCGCTGGAGATGATGAGCGCTCGTTTGACGATCCACCCTCCCAGGCTGTGCGCAATGAAGAAGAGCGGCCGTCTGGTGGTGCCGTCGCGAATGCGCTGATTGCCCAGCTCCTTGACCAAATCCAAGGCCCTGCCGTACAGCACGTTGCGCACCAGGTACCGGTAGTTGACTCCGTCTGAGATGTAGCCATACGTCATGATCCTCGCGTTGGGGATATCCTGCGCAAGAAGGTCCTCCAGCCACGACTTGGCCTTGCCGCCCTCGAGCGAGATCCATGACTTGAAGCCCTGTCCACCAAGGCCATGGACGGCCACAATGCTGTATTTGAGTCAGGCAAGTGTACCAGTAGGAGGTTCGCATACCACGGAGTAATCGCAGCGGGGACGCAGCCAAACCTACTCTATCTCGGCATCCTCAGGGTCATGAACTGTCCGCAAGCCGCTGCCTTCTGAGCTTCGCTGCCGTGTGACGGCTGTTCGTACGCGCTGGAACAGGCCCTTGAAGGAGTCGCGCGAGTCCGCCATGGGGTCAAGTGCAGGTGTGTCGAGATTGTCGTATTGTGAGTGAAAGCCTCACCGGACATTTCACGTCTGATAGTTTGTGGTGCGCAAATGTGAAGGCCATCGACTGGGAGAGGAATGATGGAAGTGTAAGGTAGAGTTGAAGGAGAGAGGAGGATGGCGACCTGACAAGCGAAGGACGTGGCTGGTGCAGGAGCGCAGGTACCTTGAAAGTACAGGCAGTTTGAGGCTCTTGCCTGCCCGGGCAGGTTAGAGTTTGGGCCTTCAGGTTATTCCTTCAGTGGCTGAGCGTCAAAGGCCAGAAAATACGTGAATCTGTCCATACAAGTTGCAATATTCTGATTGTATCCAGCCTCATGCCAACATTCAAGGCTCTGCGCCATAACAGCGACGGTTCATTGCCTGGAGTCACCAGGCAGATGTGTGATACCGACCGGTTGGGTCGCCATTTCCCGCAGCCTTACTTCAAGGGCTCTGGCGAGAGGAGACGAACCAACCGACTGGACACACCAAACCTCAACACCTTACCAGTCAGGGCGTGACCTGGCAGTGGCAAATATTCAGGGCAGAATCAGCAGGGCATTGGATTTTTGAGGTGGCATTCGATCAGTTTGTCTGTAACTGGATGTTCCCGGCGAAGCCTCTCCTTACTTCAGTCTAGTCGCTACCGTGTGCGCTTATACCCAGCAGGATCTCGACCGTCTGCCACTGTCCGCCATCCCACTTCTCTTCCTTAATTCGCTCTGACCACCTGCTATCCCAATAATCATCTTCTCCATATCAAATAAAAATCATTGACTCATTCTTCACCGGCCCTTGAATAGCCGCTGCCATCGCCAAATCCAGTCTGCTGCTATCCGTGGCGCAGCAACCACACCGAGCCGCGGGTGATGCCACCACCGAGCGTGTGGCGCAGCCTAAACTTTGGTCCAGAGGCGGCCTCTCAGCCATTCCAGGCACAAACGACGTCACATGCCACATCCAAGGCTCTCTACCTACCAAACATGACTGATGCGGCGAACCAGCTCAAGATCCTATCTCATGATTGCAATAAAGCTCACCATATAGTCACAATGCCCTGAAGCGTGAATTTCCACCGTATATACTTCATCTTCATACAGGCTCTGGTCGAGCGTCCTACTTCTGGGCTTGACAACGCCAGTACTGCAGTAGCTGGGACAGCCCCAGGATCGACTACGCTCACAACCAATCCCATCCCATACCATACCTTTGCTCTTCGAAACTCTCTCCTCCTGCAATTCTATCATGTCAACAGCCGCCATCATCAGCCCAAGCCCTCACAATCACCACCTCCACCACCGCCAACGCCTCAACCGCAACCTCAACCTCAACCCCGTCACCATCACCCGCTCCGCAGACGCAATGCCTCACGCCCACGAGACGAAACCCCTCTGGCTCATCCAGCCACGCCTCGACGCCGGCGTCTACCGCGACACGCTCATCGGCAGCGTCGTCAAATACCCCGACCTCCCCACCGAGCGCCACATCCCCTACCGCCCTGGCGCCCGCCTGCCGCGCGACATCGTCCCCGGCCTCGACCCCAAGCCCGTGCAGGTCCGCAACGTCAAGTTCTGGACCCGCCGCATCAAGGACGCCGGCGTCTCCGCCTCGCTCAACGAGATCCTCGAGGCGTTCGTCGACCGCGCCAAGGAGGACAGCAGCGAGAAGATGGCCACGGTGGCGAGGATATGGCACATGGATTCGCCGGGCGAAAAGTTCAAGGAGCTGCTCAAGGACAAGGAGTATTTCGAGGAGCTGTTTGAGCTGCTGCGGAGCAACCACGACCAGGGCTACTTCATCACCGACATCGTCACCTTGACGAACATGGAGATTAGCGACTCGACGGGGCGTTCATCGGGGGTTGGTGCGGGTGTCAAGGTCCCCGTCGACCCGTCCTTCAACGTCAACATTGGCGCCGGCGGGCACTTTCAGGTCGTCCGCGAAAAGGGCTACTCGGCGTACTACGAAGAAGAAACCATCGTCTTTCTCGGGTACAGACTCGTCCGGCTGGAAAAGGTAGAGGGCAAGAGGGCCAAGCTGGGGCGCATGTTTCTGGGCCACAAGGCCGGCTTCACCGTGCGCGACGGGTTCGACTACTGGCCGGAGCTGGTGGAGAGGGCTGTCGAGGGCAATGCCGAGCCGTTCCTGTCGGCGCAGACACCGGGTGAGGAGACCAAGGAGCTTGGGGAGGAGGACGCCGAGTATGAGGCCATTGTGGAAGAATTGGGTTATGACTTTGAAGTTGTCGGATGAGGTTTGCAGGTTACAAGCATTTGCATTGGCGTTTGGGATATACCTTCAATCATATAGCGGGCATGGCAGCAGGTACGATGGGTTTAGGGAGCGACCACCTGTATCTGGACCTTCATTGGGTACATGTAGGCTACCTACATGTATCTGTAGTCGGCATCCCGGTTCTGGGAAATAGAGTGAATGTTTTGATGATACTGATGATCCTCTGTGTCTCGTCGATTGATCTTGGTATGGATATAGCCTTCAACTTGATGGATGGCGCTACGGTGCACATGTGGAATTTATCTTGAAGCGTGTGGGCGGCATGGCGGCAGGCTACAATATCAGAGCCACTCGATTTGACCATGATGCAACGAGTCCTGCGCGGCTTCTCTTGGACCAATCAGTTAGTGCTTGATGGGGTAGGTAGCAGAAGAAATCTTGCCGCGGAATTCACACAAGGATCACGTATCACTCACTACCTTACCTTACTCCAAACAACTTCACTCTTCCCAAAAGCTCCCCACCTTCATGACTCTGGCTCCCGGCACAATGGAGCCGAAACTTCATGAACTCGACACAAAGGGGGATACGCTTCTCATTCTCCGCAACGCAAACGCTCCATTTGCTGGTTCTGCACCGTCTAATACCGGTTCGCAACAGAATCGCCCCGCGCTAGTATGGGCCGCTCCCAAGCCAGAGGTGCGAATGAGGCTCTCGGCAAGGCATCTGACGCTGGCCTCTGCGTACTTCCAGAAGCTGACGGCCAACGAATGGAAAGAGACGACAACCGAGGGCGACTACTCTTACGTCGTCAGTGCTGAAGACTGGGACGAGCAAGCGCTTCTTATCTTGATGAAGATCATTCACGGCAAGACGGCAGGCCTATCCATGTCAATGGACCTTGAAACCGTTGCTAAACTCTGCGCCCTGGTCGATTACTACCAATGCCACGAGGCACTCAAGTTCTTTATCCAGTTATGGCTCCCTGGCATCGACAAAGTCTCTTACACCGGGAGAAACCTATTGCTAAGGCTCTCTGTCTCCTGTGTGTATCCGGACGCCCCCACCTTCCAGAGGTTGACGGCCACTTTGATCAAGGAGAGTAAAGGAAATATTGACTCACTGGGCTTGCCAATACCGCTGACGGTAATCAGTAGGTCGCATCTCACGCATACTGTGAGACTCCAGATGGCATAATATCTAACTTTTGGTTCCTAGACGCAATGAACATGCAAAGACAAACCCTCATCAGTAAAATCATTGTTGGCCTCGGCGGACTGGTCAAGGCCGAGTGCTCCGACAATGGTCTCGGGTGCACCTTTGAGTGCTCCTCAGTCTTCATAGGCGCCCTTACCAAGGGCATGGACAAGATGCGACTTTCTCCGGGGCAGCTCCAATTACCGCCGTATACCGACTACAGCCTGGCATCGCTGCAGCAGGGAATCCTCGGGATAAAGGAGCCATCTTGGGATAGATTCTGCGGCAGCAGGAACCACTACAGTTACAGGCAGCCCTGCAGTCTTACTAGCAAGACAAAGCCGATGGTTGACATGTATATCAATCGGGTAGTGGGGCTGGTGCTCAAGGATTACATCAAACGCTCAGTTTGAGAACCATTACTCGCAGCCTACTTACCGTGCCGTATCGAGCTGAACCCTTCTTGAAGAAGATTGGACCATCTGAAGATGAGGTGCCTGCGGGGAAGCTAAGAGGAAAAAGACAAGGGCTCAAACAACAAGGAATAGCAGACCTCACCCAGGTATCAACGATCGATGAGGTGGACATTGACGACTGGCTCCCTAATTAAAAGTAAGTACTTTGAGAAGTCGGGATAGGGCTCCCGAGAAACGAACGATGGGAAGGAAAGATCCGTCATCCAGGACAGGAAAGGAAGAAGAATATCAGCTGGGCAATCTCAAGGTTGACAAAGGCTTGCCGCGCAAGACAGGTAGGATAGAGAAGAAGAAGAGGAGGAGGAGGAGGAGGAGGAGGAGGAGGAGGAGGAGGAGGAGGAGGAGGAGGAGGAGGAGGAGGAGGAGGAGGAGGAGGAGGAGGAGGAGGAGGAGGAGGAGGATAAGAACAGTCTTTTAGTGGGTTAAATTGGTAGTATTCAATCTGATCTTTCTGCCTGAGGAGTGCAAAGCAGGCAGCTATACACTTCCCGTCCGACGCTCCTTTCCCTCGCAGCCATGCACCTGCCGTTTGGTTCCTTCCCTTGCAGTCACCTGCCGGCAGCTGCCAATTCTTTTCTCCTCCAGTGAATGCCCACACTTTTCATCAGGGCATCTTTCCTTCCCTCTTTCTCAATTCCCTTCTTTCTTCCTTTTCTTTGCATCTCGCGACTTAGGTTCTTCGCCATCCAGGAACCCTACAGCTCAACGCCATGGAGCCGAAATTCCACGACCTCGATCCAAACGGAGACACTCTCCTCATACTCCGCAACCCAAATGCCCCATTTCTTGTTCACGCACCGCCTACAAGCCCGCCACAGAAGCGTCCAAAGCTGGAATCGACGTGTGGTGAGCCAGAAGTTCGGATGCGCCTCTCGTCAAAGCACCTTGCGCTGGCATCCGCGTATTTCCAGAAATCGATGGATGGCTTCAAGAATACAACGGCCCAAGGCCAATATTCGTACACAATCAAAACCCAAGATTACGATGAAGAAGCACTACTTATCCTAATGAATCTCTTTCACGGCGAGACGGCAAAGGTGCCTTCGTCAGTGAGCCTCGAGACACTGGCCAAGATAAGCATCATGGTGCACCACTACCAGTGCTATAATGCAGTCAACTTCTTCATGAGGACATGGTTACATCACCTAGGCAAAGTCGCTTCAAAAGGCAGAAATGCGTTGTACAACCTTTGTGTTTCCTGGGTTTTCCAAGATGCCAAAGCCTTCCTGACATCGACAGCCGGTGTCATCAAGACAAGCGAAGGGTCTCTTGATCACATAGGTTTACCAATATCACAGCACGCCATCGGTAAGCCCAAATGGAATCCATGCTTTGAAGATTCAAATGAGGCATGCTGACCAAGTTCATCCATCAGACACCCTTAACGAAAGAAGAGAAGGGCACCTATCCGCCTGTTTCGCTGATCTCGAGAGACTAGTGAAGGAAGAGGCTTCCGCAAAGGGGATTTGTTGTTCATTTGCGTGCTCCTCGATGTACCTTGGGGCGCTCATCAAAAGCCTGAGACTTGACCTCTTCGAGCCTTTCCCAGTAGCGCCGTTCACCGGCTACAGCATGTTATCATTGGATGACGCAATCCTCGAGATTGATCAGCTGCCATTCGACAAAGTTTGCCCGCAGTCAAAACAGTCTTGCTCCAATTGCCACGACTTACGCACCAAATCAAGGAACATCGTTTTTGAACAATATATGAATATCAAAGGGCTAGAACTCAAGGAGTTCTTTAATCTACCAAAGTGAAATCTCGTCGTTCCGCCATCACGCCCCGGCTACTTTGTAAGCCGAGCTCTTGTCTTTCTGGAGGGGTTAGAGCTAGGTGACGAATCTGTCAAAGCCCTGAAAGGTCACAGATGGGATATAGGCAATGACGCTGTAAGGACGAAACGGTCAAGAGTATGGTGGAGAGAATCAAGATCGGAACAAGGGACAAGAATTGTAGGAGACAGACTGACTCACATGTCGATTGTGAGCGTCAGACTGGAATCACAAGAGCACGAAGGAAAGGAGAGGAAATCAGTTCACCGATCAACAAGATCAAGAATAGCAAACGCAATCATCGGCCATTGACAAAGGCAAGCCGAGGCACGCAAGACAGGGCAGCAACATTTGTATGGGCAGATCTAAGCCATGGGACTGTGTAACGGAGAGCGGCTATCCAGTTGACTATTTTTGCTATATTATTCTAGTCTAAGCGACATATCCTTTCAACCACAAGGTAGTTCAAGTCAAAGAGAAGAACTTTAAGCAGCGTCTATCGAAACTCGGGGCTGCAAGATATAGTAGCCCAAACCCCTTCCATTCCAAATCTACAACATTCCCTACCTTACCGCAAACGACCACCCACCCCAACTCTAAAACTCATCTAATACGTCACTCTTACAAGCTCGACAATACACACAAAGTCACCAAATCACCAAATCACCAAATCACAAAGTCACACAATCCAGCTGATATGCACAAAGCTGAAGCTCTTACTATAGAATTCATCAATCGAGGCCCATCTACACCAGAATCTCAACACACTTCTACACCAAAACAAAGCACCTTGCCTCACAACACCCCCCTTTTTCAACACCCTTCGACACAAGTGACCCAATGACAGGTGTTACTCAAAAAAAGCAGACAAAAAAAGCCAAACCAAGATAAAAGGGGAAAAAAACAAGAAAAAACAAATGAAAATTCAAGAGTCGCCGGTGGGGGAGTTTAATTCAACAGAGGTGGTATCATGTCATAGGTAGAGTAGTTTTCTCTTTCATCCATGGGAAAAATTCCACAACAAGAGGAGTGACAGCACAAAAGGAAAAGGAGGTTGGACCTGTTCTGAGGTACTGGAGGAGAGGGGGCCTATAGAACAAAAAAAAAAAGGACAAAAGACAAGAAAATGTCCCCCCCGTTGAATGGTAGATCCCGATGCTATTCCAACTCCCAAGCGCCCACGCAAAGTATGTAACAATGTGTAAAGTGTGTGTGTGTGGATGTGGATGTGGATGTGTGTAGATGTGTGAATGGATGGTTTGGATGTCGTTCAATAAAAGGCCTGCTCATCTTCAGCTGGACGCAGAGGACCCGCTATTTGAGCTCTGGACTGAATCTTCAGATCCCGAGCTGTTACTTCTATCTCGTCGAATGGGGCTCGCGCCCTGCTGTATCGCGTCGCTGTAGCTGGGCACGGGATCCTGGGGAGTAGCGGACTGGCCATGTCCTGCAGGCCGTATTGTCGACGAAGACTCACCCCTGCTGCGCGTCATGACTTGAATCAGAGGGGCGTTTTCGTCCTCGCTGTCTGAGCTGTACCGACGATTGCGGTCGTCCGGGAGGGTTGGACTTGAGTAGTCAGGAGGCGGGTTGGTTGCGTCTTCGAGATGGAGCTCGAGAGGGTTGCCGTTGAGATGCTGTTCCTGCGCAAGCTGCGTGCTGCTGCTAGCCTCACCACCTTCGTCGGATGGCACGAGCTGGGCAAGCGAGATGTCGGTTGGACTCCTGACAGGACCGGGGCTCGTGGGAGGGAGAACCCTGAAATTTCCGCTGCGTGATCGTCCATGCTGAACGCTGAGATCGTTTTCGCCCATCCTAACACTGTAGGGCGTGCCGCTCACGGAGTGTCGATGGGCCCGACCGTGCGAAGAGGTGAAGCCGTCCTTGGTGCCGGTTTCGAGGAGAATGCTGCCCTGCTCAGAGCCGTACGGGGGCGGGGGAGCCAGGCTGCCCGTGACAGGGGCCAGCCCCCATTTCTTGACATTTGCCTCGATGAAGACGAAGCCAGACTGACCAAAATTGACGTGAACAGACGCTGGCCCGTTGGCTCCAATGGCGGGAAAGAAGTTTTGAGACTTTAAGCCGTGGACAACTTCCTCGAGCTTCTTGCCGTTTCGCGTAAAGAAGATGACGCCAGTCCGCGGCCTGTAACCAACGCCGATCACGTCGCCGGGAACAATCTGAGGACCGTACGGGGTTCGACTAAAGGGCTGGTTGTAGTGTCGCGAGCCATTTGAGTGGTATGCAACGGAGTACTTGTGGTAACCTAGAGGAATTTAGCATATCGCAAGGCGACGTCATGGAGACAGAAAAAAAAGAAAACAGAACTCACCAGGAAGTCTAAACAGAGGGTACGGCTTGGTGGCCATGCCAATCGCCACCAGCGTGTTCTCGGCCTTTTCGTAGATCTTGGCCTCCCAGTAGTAGACGTCGTTTTGCTTGGGCACGGGCAGGTTGCTCATGACGGTGCACTCGGAATCGAAGAATTCAATCTCGGTTCGGGCCTGGACGAAGCAGTTTGCAATTTCCAGCTCGGGCTCAAACTCCCAGGCCGACACGCCCTTTTCCTGGATGGCAAGGAACTGCGAGAGGGAAATGTCGGTTTGCGCAGACTCGGGAGGGTTGGCGGTGATGAATGCTATCTCATGGTCAGTACCGTTTGGCCAGGCTAGGACGCGATGCCGCAGAAAAAAGGCGGGAGGGCAGATGGATGCGCGGATGGGCTCGTGGCATACCTTTGGCCCTCAGATACTCTGTCCTGGCCATGTCGTCCATGTTCTCCAGGGCCTCGGCCTCCTCCCTCGCAAACGCCTGCTCGTCGTCATATTCGCCCGGTCGGCCAATGCGGTCGAGGATGATGCGGCCGGAGCCAGCGCAGCCGGACGCCCAGAAGATGAAGATGACGAGGAAGATGAGGACGATGGAGCCAAAGGACGACACGAGGCCGATGATGACGCCCGTCAAGGCGGAGGATGGTGACGTCGTCATTGCGGAGGGTATTTCAACGCAGGCGAGTCGATGCGACAGGCAAAGCAGCAAGAAGCAGCATTCGCTGGCGGCGAAAGAGGACAGAAAGACAAGAAATCAAGACTCCGAGGAGCCAGACTGACGAGACCGGCGTCTCCGCCGCGATCGCGGCCCTGCGAGCGTTCTGACTGCGTCTGGTGAGGAGGCTGCGGGGGAGAGGAATGGATGATGCTCCCAAAGCCGATCTGCCGTCGAGGGCGCAGATCCAGAGGAAAATCGGCCGTAGGTGCGGCGGCAAAAGCAGTAATCGAGAGTCGTCGCTTGTTAAGAAGGTTCACGCAGAAAACAGGAAGAAATGCAAATGAGGTTTGTCGTCGGACCGTTCCGGAGCAGCCGCTGCCAGAGGGCGAAAAGAACAGCAGTTGGGTGGTGGTGGATGGTTGATGGGGGAAGATGGATCAGATGGCGTTTTGGGCGAGACAGACTGACTGACAGACACTCGGACACTCGCCACAGCCGCTGGAGGCGACTCGCCCGGGCTTTATCAGGTCGGGTGGGAGTCGAGCACTGTGCTGTGCTGCGCTGTGCTGCGGTGCTGTGCCTGCTGCAGAGGGCGGCACGGGCTTGCAGGTCCACTGTCTGGTGCTTCAACCCGCACGACCGGGACGCTGTTGCGGCACTGTTCGAAACTGTTCTAGCAGCCACTAGACCGGCAGCAGCTAGGTAGGTGGTGTACAAGGCCTGAAGGCTGCAGAGGTTCAAGGGCCAAGAGCCGCTAGCAGTCCAGTGCAGTACAACCTCGCCGTAGCACAAGCGAAGCTGAGGGAATATTAACGAGGCAAAGGACGATGATGTCTGAGATATGCTGGAACCCAGCAGAGGAGCAGAAAAGGGGAGTGTGTGTTCAAACAAAAGGAGTCTGCGAGTCAATTTCAAGAGCCGAAGAGAGATGAATATTAAGCTCCGTTCTCCTGGAGGATGAAGCAGATTGTGTGCAAGACTGGTGTTGTTCATGGAGAAGAGTGCTCGTGATGTTGCCTGTTTTGGGCAAAGAGGGAACAGAACAGACGAACAGACGAACAGACGGACAAAGAAGAAGAACAGAGAGGGCTGGCTGGGCTCATTGACCGCGTCGCAAGGGCTTCAAAGCTGCGGGGGCCGCATGCTGCCGTTTTGCTGTCGGGTGGAATAGCTGCGAATCTGGGCGGCTCGTCAGGGCCAGGATGGACGAAGGAAATGGAAACCTCAGGGCGGCTGCGGAGGTATTCGGTACCTTGCCCGCGACAAAGACAGTACTCATCTGCGCATCTACTTCAGATAGAGTTTACGTGGCAGAAGTGGTAGATTGATCATCTGCGTCACGGGGACGCTCAAGTACCGACATGGCTGCAGAGTCCCTGGCATTGGAGTTGCGGGTACTTGCACTTCGCTTGTTGTTGGGGTCAGGGTTGTCAGGTAATCCCTCGAGGTGCCTGGACGGACTGTGTGACGCAATGCGGGTTCATGACCCGACAGGGCAGCCATCAGCACCAGCACCAGCATCAGCAAAGGCAAGGCAAGGCAGCCTCGTGCGCGACCATTGTGAACAATTTGGAACCAGACAGCTCCAGCTCGCACACAGTACATACGTACCAGACAATTCCCAGCTCCAAACCCATCGCATCTCTTGCATAAGTATCACCTCAATCCCGATGAAACAACATCCAGAAAATCAATCAATCCCTTTCGTTTCGACCCATGCAACCTAGAGCAGCACCAAACAAGCTCTCCCCTTGAACCACCTCGGCGCCTATGTATGTACATCCATACGCAGAACCGTCCAAAAGGGCAGAAGAAATCCCTGCAGTTTCACCCCCTTCCAGCCCGCGACGAGTTTCAAAAACCCTCTTTATGCTTGTATCGTATCGCCTCAGGGCTGTAACTGTCAATGCAACCCCGGGTGGGCTTACATATTCGTGCCATTGGGAACCATGCAATTCACTGAGCATGGGGTGTGATGGTCTATGAATAGCTCGTAGCCGCGTCTGCTTGTACGGCAACAACACGACGTTGAAAGCTGACCTTCCTCTTCTTTCGTGGGATATCGAGGTAAGATGAGGTCGACAACAGATTAGCAAATAAGCGCCCCCAAATCACAAACCTGATGAACAGGAGCGCCGTCTAAGACGCATCTCTCGAAAAACTCCAGTATACGAAGCATGCAGGTGCGTCATTAAAACGGGAGCAGACCAAAAACACGGAAAAGAAACGGACACTGTGAACACTTGTTGGTTCCTGGATCGAAAAGTAAAAGCGCCTCGTTGTGATGATAATCTCCGTATTACGCGTACGCGTAAGATGCGGCTTGGATATATAGTATTGCCACCAGCTAGCATGATAGGAGAAAGGGACGTATCATAAGTGACTTTCATCTTGGAGATATCAGAAGCCTCATGTTATCTCAAAGACTACCAAGAATTTGTTGACTTGGGCAGTCCAACTCATACCTACTTGACGTGGAAGAGCCATATTGCATGTACCTAGGGAAGATGGAGCGTGTTGACAACTCGTCAAGCCATTTTATAAACTATTGCATATCATTCATACAAGTACCGACATCGTAAAGCTACCTAGCAAACATAACCATCTTCACTCGTCGCCTTCTTGACCGCAAGTCATGCTCATAAAGGCGTTTGCATAACAAAAGAAAGGCAACCATACCAACCCGCCTCCAATCCATCAATCATCAAACCAACGATACCGCGCCAACAAAAGCAGCAGAGACGCATTCATCGCAAGAAACCTCCAGCGTCATCTCGTATAACCCTCCGTCCTTACCAACATCAACCCATCAAACCAGCCTCATCGAAGCCAGTTATATCAGGCTCGATATCCACCCTACAGATCAGTCTCCTCCGTATTTCCCCTCCGATACCCACTCTTGCTCCTCCTCGCCCTCCTCTCCTCCCTCTCCCTCCTCCTCTGCTCCTTCAGCTCCGGCAGAGGATGGTGATAGCTCTTGGTCCCCAGCTCGCTATCCTCCTCGGGAATGCTGCTCTCCCCCAGCGTCGTCGACCCGCCGCCGCTCCCCGACCCCGAGAGCAGGCTCTCGCTCAGCTCGCTGTTCGTCACCGCCCCGGCAGCCCTCTGGTACCCGAAATCCCGCTGAGCAATCTTGTCCGCGGCCCTCAGCCTGCGTGCCTCCGCGCGCAGCCTCTCCGCCTCCCGATTCTCCCTCCGGTCCGCAGTCGAGTACACCTTCCGAATCCCGCTCTTGGCCGGCTTCTTCTCGGGCGATGAAGCCTCCGTAGCAGCAGCAGCAGCAGTAGGAGCAGAAGTCTTGGTAGGCGACGACGTAGGCGTGGGCTCCTGGTGCAGAAGCAGCTCCGACGTGGCCCCCACCGAGGACTCGGCGGCATTCGTCGACCCTTCCCACTCAGACCCCTCAGCCTCCTTGTTGATGCCGCCGACGCGGGCAGCCTTTTCGTGGCGGTAGCTGCGCAGGAGCTTCTTGGCCTCGCGCTCGGCCTTTTCGTCCACGACGCCCTCAAACGCCGTCGTCGCCGACGATGCCTCTGCGCCCTTGCCCTTGTCGCCGCGCCGCTTCCTGCGCTCCGCGTCGCGCGCCTCGCGCTTCTTCTTGCGCTTCTCGCGCGCAAAGATGTCGCTCGCACCGGCCGTGATGCCCGTCAAGTATGTGCTGTCCGTAATGGCCGTGCGCCTATCGTCGTCGTCGTCGTGATCATCGTCGTCATAACGCTTGTACACGCTGCCGCCGCCCAAATCAGTCGACTCGGTGGCGCCCGAGAGAAGCGTGCCGTTGGGCCCCTTGCGGCGCAGCACCGTGGACTTGTAGTCGTCCCAGTCGTGGTCGTTGAAGTAGATGCCGCCGTTCTTGGCGTAGAAGAAGAACCAAATGCCCGTGACGACGAAGCCGACGCCGATGAGCGCAAAGAGGAAGAAGAAGCCCGCGTTGTTGATGTCGTGCGGGTCGAGCACGCCCTTGGACGGGTCAACGGTGCGCTTCGACAGCCGGGCCATGAGGCGCGCGCCCTCGACGAGGGGCCCGTCCGCGGGGAACCGGTCGGTGTCGAGGAAGTCGACGGTCGGCGTGCCGGTGCTCGCCGCCACCGCCGGCGCCATGGTTTGCGATGGAAGGTTACTTTTTTGGCCGAGGTGTTGGAATGCGGGAGTGTCTCGAGAGAGAGAGAGAGAGATGGAGGTGCTTAGGCGGAGTTGAGATATGGGACGATGTCGTCGTCAACCAGCCACCGCCTTTTGCAGTCCTCAGTACCTCTAATCGTGGCCCGAGAGATGAAGAGTGCCAGCAAGCAGAGATTGTCCCACTGTCTCAGGAGTTAAACAAATGGAATCGATATCGTCACCACTTCAGGAACCAAACATTTGAAGAAACGGGGGAAAGAAAACACACACAAGCGCTAAGGAGAAAACAGAGGCGCAGAGCTGGTGTGTGCAGCTGAACCGGGGGGGCGGCGGCTGCGCGGTTCAGGTTCCTCCAGAAACCACGAAAATAACCTGGTGGCTGGGGGGGTGTCGCGTTAGCAGCTGCAACCAATCATCTTGGATTCTGCATGCATGGCAGAGGTGCTCACTACCTAGGTACCTACAACATTGACAGTCTTTCTGCGAATGAGATGCCGCCTTTTCTGTTGCTCAAAGGTGAATACAACTGGGATAAAGAGCGTCTGCAGCACCCTCAACAATAAGTGCCCTTCACGCCTCTACCATCTCCTCCAATTCTCCCCTCATCGCAACACCAGCAAAAGGTCAATCAAGAGGAGTTACATGGAACGTCCAGAGTAAACACACCGAAAGCCGCCCAACCCAGCAACGCCCCACACTCCTCCCCATCTCTCCAATCAACTCCACTCCTCCCGTCAAAGTGGACCTACAGAGCGTTTCCCACTTTAGCAATTTCTGGGCCTCTAGCATCTCGATTCAGAAGTCCTGCGTCGTCAGCTCACTCATTCACTCACTCATTCACTCTCTCATTCATCGCATCTCATCTCATCATGGATATATCTCATTCCAACCACTCCCCAAGTAAAGCACCTTGCCTCTTTGTACTACTTCTCATGATGTCGTGCTAATAAACCTAGTTAGTACTCCTGAATGAGATGGAGTGCATGTGAGATTCACTTCAATGGATGAGTTGCACCACAGAAGGCTTGAGATTAGTATAAGAATTATATTACACTGTGATCCACATCTAGCCTACGTGGAGGCTTCTCAGCTCGTCTTCCTGTATGATTCACCGCCTTTGGTCTGGCTCCCTGCATGAAAGACGAGCATACAAAAGTCATGTATTTCATGCAGTGTTGCTCCATGCCTGTGGATTTCAACATGACACGCATTTCACTCATTATGCCCCCCAAATACGGAAAGACAGCTATTAGCAATCATAGACTCTTCATTATAGCACCGCAAATACAACAAAAACGACGCAATGAAACAGCACTCATGATAAACCAATCGATATCGTCATTATATCCAAGAAAACACTTTTAGTTCGTCATCAGGTCATGAAAGAGCCGTGTCAATCCCTCCGCATACCTCCGACAGCACGCTATCCAAACACCCCAATAGCCTGTCTACATACCACATCGCCTTCCTTGCAGCATCCTGTCTCTCATCCGTCGTATCACGTCCTCCTCGAGCCATGCATGCATGCACCTCCTCGCATTATGCGTGCTAGCCCACAAAGGTAAGCCGTGAGGGGTATCAGAGAGTCCGGCTCGAGTGCACGTGGCCGCAAGTCGCAGCCCTCTTCTTGCCAGACGGAGAGAGAAAAAAAGAGCTCCGTGTCTCGGAAGGATGAAAAAGTCGGAGCAGGGTGAGCGAACAGCATGCCAGTGGAAGGTCAAGAGTGCCCCTCGTGTACGGCAGAGGGAGTGAAGGGGGTGTGAACCCCCGTTGCTCGTACATTCTATCGCTTTCGTAACATTGGTGAGAAAACGAATAAATCAAACAACTCGATATTGTCTCGAAAACCAAGGTCGCTAGAGTAAAAAGACTGAGATTGGCCGGACCCAAAGAGAGACCGACCTCGACTCGTCATGTCCAGAGGCTGGATGGCTAGGGAGACGGCAGTGTCTGAATGCGGTTCAAGTCCAAGCCGACACGACACAACCATCGGAGCGGTGCCATCTCCCATGCGGCAAGGACGGAGGTTTTCGGACCAGGTTGCCTCCATGCTTGCCCGATCCATCCCAATTCTCACCGACACTCTTTGCAGGCGGTGCAGTGCTCACGCAGAAGATGAAATGAGTAAAGAGAAAGAAAAAAAAAAAGAGAGAAAAGATTATGGAAGAAATGAGATATAATGAACCCATAAACCGTGTATCATATCTGCCCATAAATGCGCACAATATCCTTCCCATCGTTAACTATTTTGGGGGTATCAGAATGTTTTGCCGCCATGAAATGGCACCAGGGTATATGAACCACCAAGACAAGCACAGGATGTGAAGGAAGAGAAGAGAAGTAAAGGAAAATGGAAACAAAGTTGTCAAGAAATGGTAAAACGCGGAAATAAAGCAGGATGGAGAAACTCAAAGGTGAGAACTCCTTCGGTTCGTAATTCCAAAAGAGGTTAAAGAAAATGCTCGACATCGCCGCATGTCGACATCGAAGCAAGACAATAGAAAGAAGCACTTTTTCATCATGGCGTAAATCGTCAATTAAGTTCGTGAACCGTCATGTGGCGTCATGTGGTCATTGGTCGTCAAAACGTTCAATAAAAGTTGGAAGCAGCAAGAGACGGGTCGTAGGGAGCGTATTTGGGGGCCTCGTATTCATAGTGCTCGGGCTCATCATACGGCACATGCTCGTAGGGGGCGTGCAGCGGAGCGTAAATACGGCTGTGGACGTCGGATTGACTGGCTGCGCGGGGGCGATGGGGCAGCGCCTTGCGTTCCATGCGAGAGCTGCGGGCATCGTCGAGCTGGTAGACGGTGCTCTCCTTGTCGCTGCCGGCTCGGGAATGGCCCATGGCTCCGGATCCAGGCCCGGCGCCGGCGCCTCGGTTGCTGCTGAAGGTGATCTCGCCTCCATCGCACTCGATCTGGGCTCCGGGAACCTTGACCACGGCCTGGCCAGAGACCTTGATGGTGAAATCGTCGTTGTGGGCTGCCGACGACTGCGTGGTGAGGCCGGTGGTGTGGCTTCGCTTGTAGTCGCTCTCGTCGTGGCTGCCGCTGCTCCTGGTGGATCGGCTGCTGGCCAGCTCCCCACGCTTGGACGCCTTGCGCAGCGTCTCGGCGGTCAGGGGCATCGGCGTGCCGCCGCTCACATCCTCCTGGTAGCGCAGAGCATCAAAGTACCTGTTGTCGTCCTCGAGGCTGACGCCGCCAGACTCCTGGGGGCCGGGCCCGTACATGGATGCGCGGCGGCCTCGGTTACCGGCAGGAACAATGTCGTAGCCATTTTGATCATAGGCAACGGAGCTGCTGCGACGCTGACGAGTCAGGGCATTGCGGCGCTGGTTGTGAGGGACGTCTTGGTAGTATTCCTCTTCGTCGAGGAAGTCGTCGTCATAGTCCTGCTGGTCGACAAAGCCCACAGACCGGCGGTGCGAGGGGGGCGGCGGCCGTTGCTGGGCTGGGCGGGACTGCGGGCGCTCTCGAAGCTGCTCTCGGATGTGCTCCCGTGCCTGTTCTCGCAGGTGCTCGCGCGGCGCCTCCCGCGGTGCCTCACGCGCTGGCGGAGGCTTGAAGCCGCCCGCGGTTGGCCGCGCCGACTGGGTACGCTTGGGGGCGAACTCGGGAGGCGGCATCTTCTTGCGTTCCTCAAGCGGCAGCGGCGGCGGCGCCTTCTTTGCACGGGAAGGACGGCGGGCATGCTTCTGAGGCTGCTCCTCCTCATAGTCGCCATAGTCGTTGTCAAAGTAGCCGATGGCCTCGGGGGGAGAACCAAAGCCCATGGCGGAAGCAGGCCGGCCAAACTCATCGAAATGACGCCCGTATTGGTCTCGTGGAGGCGGTGGGCCCATGGGGCCATCGAAGAAGGGAGGCGGGCCCATGCCCATGGGAGACGGCGGCGGCATGCCAGGATGCATTTGGGGCCCGCCAGGGAACATGGGAGGCGGCGGCGGGAAGTTGCCAAATGCCCCCGGAGGAGGGGGCAGAGGCGGGTGAGGTCCAGCCCAGCCCATGTCCAGAGGGGGCCGTGGGGGCTGGCCGGCATAGTAGCTCGCAGGACGAGTGTTGGCACGGGGTCGCTGGCCAGACACGGCAGGCTGCTGGACGCCGTACGCGGCCGGGTCCTCGACTTGACCTCTCCGGTAGGCAGCCTGAGAGACGACGGGCTGGGAGGCGGCGTGCTTGGGGGGACCGGGCCGGGACTTCTTCTGGCCCCTGGCGTCTCTGAGGTCTCTGATGTCTCGGGGATCCCTGGGCTCCCTCAGGTCTCTGAGGTCCCTTGGGTCTCGGTCCCTTGGCTGAGGCCGGGGCCTCCTGTGGCTGTCGTCGTCTCTGGGCTTCCTCTCCCGCCTCTGGTGGTGGTCACGATCAAGGGCTCTGTGGTCGCGGGGGCCACGAGCGTCTCGAGAATCGCGGGGGTCGCGGCGGTGATGGTCTCGATCCTGGTGCGACAGGCGTCGATGGTCAGCGGGCACAGGCCTCATCTTGTCCCTGCGGACGGGTGCGGGCGTGGTGTCGGAGTCGGAGAGGCTGCTGCTGCTCGAGGCCGTCTCGTCCTCAGAGTCGGAGTCTGGCAGGACTCGGCCGCCTCGAGGCTTGCCGGTGTTGGATCGCTCAGGGCTTCTGGGCGCCTCTGAGCGGGCGTAACGGCGGGTGCTCTCGACGCCGATGGTGCTGCCGATGTCCTCATCGACGTCCTCGACGTAGCCGACCATGGACTTGTCAGGCATGGTGAAGCTGGATGTGTGATGGTAGATGGATGGTGAGAGGGAAACAGAGATTGTAGGGGCAAGGAAGCCGCACCAAGGCGGGGGTCGGGTTCGCTCGCGTCGCTGCTGAGAGCGCAGCTGTCCGCATCAACGAGTGCGGCGTTCTAGGCAG